CTGATGTGCTATGAACGGCATCGCCCTGGCAGGGGATAGGCCACAGGGGAGAGAGACGGGTGGGCGGCAAAACACACAGCACAGAGCGTTCTGAAATGCCTCAAAGGACTGCTGTGCATCCTCTGCTGCTGATGTGCTATGAACGGCATCGCCCTGGCAGGGGATAGGCCACAGGGGAGAGAGACGGGTGGGCGGCAAAACACACAGCACAGAGCGTTCTGAAATGCCTCAAAGGACTGCTGTGCATCCTCTGCTGCTGATGTGCTATGAACGGCATCGCCCTGGCAGGGGATAGGCCACAGGGGAGAGAGACGGGTGGGCGGCAAAACACACAGCACAGAGCGTTCTGAAATGCCTCAAAGGACTGCTGTGCATCCTCTGCTGCTGATGTGCTATGAACGGCATCGCCCTGGCAGGGGATAGGCCACAGGGGAGAGAGACGGGTGGGCGGCAAAACACACAGCACAGAGCGTTCTGAAATGCCTCAAAGGACTGCTGTGCATCCTCTGCTGCTGATGTGCTATGAACGGCATCGCCCTGGCAGGGGATAGGCCACAGGGGAGAGAGACGGGTGGGCGGCAAAACACACAGCACAGAGCGTTCTGAAATGCCTCAAAGGACTGCTGTGCATCCTCTGCTGCTGATGTGCTATGAACGGCATCGCCCTGGCAGGGGATAGGCCACAGGGGAGAGAGACGGGTGGGCGGCAAAACACACAGCACAGAGCGTTCTGAAATGCCTCAAAGGACTGCTGTGCATCCTCTGCTGCTGATGTGCTATGAACGGCATCGCCCTGGCAGGGGATAGGCCACAGGGGAGAGAGACGGGTGGGCGGCAAAACACACAGCACAGAGCGTTCTGAAATGCCTCAAAGGACTGCTGTGCATCCTCTGCTGCTGATGTGCTATGAACGGCATCGCCCTGGCAGGGGATAGGCCACAGGGGAGAGAGACGGGTGGGCGGCAAAACACACAGCACAGAGCGTTCTGAAATGCCTCAAAGGACTGCTGTGCATCCTCTGCTGCTGATGTGCTATGAACGGCATCGCCCTGGCAGGGGATAGGCCACAGGGGAGAGAGACGGGTGGGCGGCAAAACACACAGCACAGAGCGTTCTGAAATGCCTCAAAGGACTGCTGTGCATCCTCTGCTGCTGATGTGCTATGAACGGCATCGCCCTGGCAGGGGATAGGCCACAGGGGAGAGAGACGGGTGGGCGGCAAAACACACAGCACAGAGCGTTCTGAAATGCCTCAAAGGACTGCTGTGCATCCTCTGCTGCTGATGTGCTATGAACGGCATCGCCCTGGCAGGGGATAGGCCACAGGGGAGAGAGACGGGTGGGCGGCAAAACACACAGCACAGAGCGTTCTGAAATGCCTCAAAGGACTGCTGTGCATCCTCTGCTGCTGATGTGCTATGAACGGCATCGCCCTGGCAGGGGATAGGCCACAGGGGAGAGAGACGGGTGGGCGGCAAAACACACAGCACAGAGCGTTCTGAAATGCCTCAAAGGACTGCTGTGCATCCTCTGCTGCTGATGTGCTATGAACGGCATCGCCCTGGCAGGGGATAGGCCACAGGGGAGAGAGACGGGTGGGCGGCAAAACACACAGCACAGAGCGTTCTGAAATGCCTCAAAGGACTGCTGTGCATCCTCTGCTGCTGATGTGCTATGAACGGCATCGCCCTGGCAGGGGATAGGCCACAGGGGAGAGAGACGGGTGGGCGGCAAAACACACAGCACAGAGCGTTCTGAAATGCCTCAAAGGACTGCTGTGCATCCTCTGCTGCTGATGTGCTATGAACGGCATCGCCCTGGCAGGGGATAGGCCACAGGGGAGAGAGACGGGTGGGCGGCAAAACACACAGCACAGAGCGTTCTGAAATGCCTCAAAGGACTGCTGTGCATCCTCTGCTGCTGATGTGCTATGAACGGCATCGCCCTGGCAGGGGATAGGCCACAGGGGAGAGAGACGGGTGGGCGGCAAAACACACAGCACAGAGCGTTCTGAAATGCCTCAAAGGACTGCTGTGCATCCTCTGCTGCTGATGTGCTATGAACGGCATCGCCCTGGCAGGGGATAGGCCACAGGGGAGAGAGACGGGTGGGCGGCAAAACACACAGCACAGAGCGTTCTGAAATGCCTCAAAGGACTGCTGTGCATCCTCTGCTGCTGATGTGCTATGAACGGCATCGCCCTGGCAGGGGATAGGCCACAGGGGAGAGAGACGGGTGGGCGGCAAAACACACAGCACAGAGCGTTCTGAAATGCCTCAAAGGACTGCTGTGCATCCTCTGCTGCTGATGTGCTATGAACGGCATCGCCCTGGCAGGGGATAGGCCACAGGGGAGAGAGACGGGTGGGCGGCAAAACACACAGCACAGAGCGTTCTGAAATGCCTCAAAGGACTGCTGTGCATCCTCTGCTGCTGATGTGCTATGAACGGCATCGCCCTGGCAGGGGATAGGCCACAGGGGAGAGAGACGGGTGGGCGGCAAAACACACAGCACAGAGCGTTCTGAAATGCCTCAAAGGACTGCTGTGCATCCTCTGCTGCTGATGTGCTATGAACGGCATCGCCCTGGCAGGGGATAGGCCACAGGGGAGAGAGACGGGTGGGCGGCAAAACACACAGCACAGAGCGTTCTGAAATGCCTCAAAGGACTGCTGTGCATCCTCTGCTGCTGATGTGCTATGAACGGCATCGCCCTGGCAGGGGATAGGCCACAGGGGAGAGAGACGGGTGGGCGGCAAAACACACAGCACAGAGCGTTCTGAAATGCCTCAAAGGACTGCTGTGCATCCTCTGCTGCTGATGTGCTATGAACGGCATCGCCCTGGCAGGGGATAGGCCACAGGGGAGAGAGACGGGTGGGCGGCAAAACACACAGCACAGAGCGTTCTGAAATGCCTCAAAGGACTGCTGTGCATCCTCTGCTGCTGATGTGCTATGAACGGCATCGCCCTGGCAGGGGATAGGCCACAGGGGAGAGAGACGGGTGGGCGGCAAAACACACAGCACAGAGCGTTCTGAAATGCCTCAAAGGACTGCTGTGCATCCTCTGCTGCTGATGTGCTATGAACGGCATCGCCCTGGCAGGGGATAGGCCACAGGGGAGAGAGACGGGTGGGCGGCAAAACACACAGCACAGAGCGTTCTGAAATGCCTCAAAGGACTGCTGTGCATCCTCTGCTGCTGATGTGCTATGAACGGCATCGCCCTGGCAGGGGATAGGCCACAGGGGAGAGAGACGGGTGGGCGGCAAAACACACAGCACAGAGCGTTCTGAAATGCCTCAAAGGACTGCTGTGCATCCTCTGCTGCTGATGTGCTATGAACGGCATCGCCCTGGCAGGGGATAGGCCACAGGGGAGAGAGACGGGTGGGCGGCAAAACACACAGCACAGAGCGTTCTGAAATGCCTCAAAGGACTGCTGTGCATCCTCTGCTGCTGATGTGCTATGAACGGCATCGCCCTGGCAGGGGATAGGCCACAGGGGAGAGAGACGGGTGGGCGGCAAAACACACAGCACAGAGCGTTCTGAAATGCCTCAAAGGACTGCTGTGCATCCTCTGCTGCTGATGTGCTATGAACGGCATCGCCCTGGCAGGGGATAGGCCACAGGGGAGAGAGACGGGTGGGCGGCAAAACACACAGCACAGAGCGTTCTGAAATGCCTCAAAGGACTGCTGTGCATCCTCTGCTGCTGATGTGCTATGAACGGCATCGCCCTGGCAGGGGATAGGCCACAGGGGAGAGAGACGGGTGGGCGGCAAAACACACAGCACAGAGCGTTCTGAAATGCCTCAAAGGACTGCTGTGCATCCTCTGCTGCTGATGTGCTATGAACGGCATCGCCCTGGCAGGGGATAGGCCACAGGGGAGAGAGACGGGTGGGCGGCAAAACACACAGCACAGAGCGTTCTGAAATGCCTCAAAGGACTGCTGTGCATCCTCTGCTGCTGATGTGCTATGAACGGCATCGCCCTGGCAGGGGATAGGCCACAGGGGAGAGAGACGGGTGGGCGGCAAAACACACAGCACAGAGCGTTCTGAAATGCCTCAAAGGACTGCTGTGCATCCTCTGCTGCTGATGTGCTATGAACGGCATCGCCCTGGCAGGGGATAGGCCACAGGGGAGAGAGACGGGTGGGCGGCAAAACACACAGCACAGAGCGTTCTGAAATGCCTCAAAGGACTGCTGTGCATCCTCTGCTGCTGATGTGCTATGAACGGCATCGCCCTGGCAGGGGATAGGCCACAGGGGAGAGAGACGGGTGGGCGGCAAAACACACAGCACAGAGCGTTCTGAAATGCCTCAAAGGACTGCTGTGCATCCTCTGCTGCTGATGTGCTATGAACGGCATCGCCCTGGCAGGGGATAGGCCACAGGGGAGAGAGACGGGTGGGCGGCAAAACACACAGCACAGAGCGTTCTGAAATGCCTCAAAGGACTGCTGTGCATCCTCTGCTGCTGATGTGCTATGAACGGCATCGCCCTGGCAGGGGATAGGCCACAGGGGAGAGAGACGGGTGGGCGGCAAAACACACAGCACAGAGCGTTCTGAAATGCCTCAAAGGACTGCTGTGCATCCTCTGCTGCTGATGTGCTATGAACGGCATCGCCCTGGCAGGGGATAGGCCACAGGGGAGAGAGACGGGTGGGCGGCAAAACACACAGCACAGAGCGTTCTGAAATGCCTCAAAGGACTGCTGTGCATCCTCTGCTGCTGATGTGCTATGAACGGCATCGCCCTGGCAGGGGATAGGCCACAGGGGAGAGAGACGGGTGGGCGGCAAAACACACAGCACAGAGCGTTCTGAAATGCCTCAAAGGACTGCTGTGCATCCTCTGCTGCTGATGTGCTATGAACGGCATCGCCCTGGCAGGGGATAGGCCACAGGGGAGAGAGACGGGTGGGCGGCAAAACACACAGCACAGAGCGTTCTGAAATGCCTCAAAGGACTGCTGTGCATCCTCTGCTGCTGATGTGCTATGAACGGCATCGCCCTGGCAGGGGATAGGCCACAGGGGAGAGAGACGGGTGGGCGGCAAAACACACAGCACAGAGCGTTCTGAAATGCCTCAAAGGACTGCTGTGCATCCTCTGCTGCTGATGTGCTATGAACGGCATCGCCCTGGCAGGGGATAGGCCACAGGGGAGAGAGACGGGTGGGCGGCAAAACACACAGCACAGAGCGTTCTGAAATGCCTCAAAGGACTGCTGTGCATCCTCTGCTGCTGATGTGCTATGAACGGCATCGCCCTGGCAGGGGATAGGCCACAGGGGAGAGAGACGGGTGGGCGGCAAAACACACAGCACAGAGCGTTCTGAAATGCCTCAAAGGACTGCTGTGCATCCTCTGCTGCTGATGTGCTATGAACGGCATCGCCCTGGCAGGGGATAGGCCACAGGGGAGAGAGACGGGTGGGCGGCAAAACACACAGCACAGAGCGTTCTGAAATGCCTCAAAGGACTGCTGTGCATCCTCTGCTGCTGATGTGCTATGAACGGCATCGCCCTGGCAGGGGATAGGCCACAGGGGAGAGAGACGGGTGGGCGGCAAAACACACAGCACAGAGCGTTCTGAAATGCCTCAAAGGACTGCTGTGCATCCTCTGCTGCTGATGTGCTATGAACGGCATCGCCCTGGCAGGGGATAGGCCACAGGGGAGAGAGACGGGTGGGCGGCAAAACACACAGCACAGAGCGTTCTGAAATGCCTCAAAGGACTGCTGTGCATCCTCTGCTGCTGATGTGCTATGAACGGCATCGCCCTGGCAGGGGATAGGCCACAGGGGAGAGAGACGGGTGGGCGGCAAAACACACAGCACAGAGCGTTCTGAAATGCCTCAAAGGACTGCTGTGCATCCTCTGCTGCTGATGTGCTATGAACGGCATCGCCCTGGCAGGGGATAGGCCACAGGGGAGAGAGACGGGTGGGCGGCAAAACACACAGCACAGAGCGTTCTGAAATGCCTCAAAGGACTGCTGTGCATCCTCTGCTGCTGATGTGCTATGAACGGCATCGCCCTGGCAGGGGATAGGCCACAGGGGAGAGAGACGGGTGGGCGGCAAAACATACAGTACAGAGCGTTCTAAAACGCCTCAAAACTCTGTTGTGTATCCTCTGTTTCTGGTGTGCTATGAGCGGCATTGCCCCGGAAAAGGGATGGGCTACAGGGGAGGCAAAGGAAGCTGGGCAAACGAGGTATGCAGCAGGTTTCAGATGCTCCAAGTGATGCACCTGATAAGACAGCTGATGGGGCACCTGAAGATGCACCTGATGATGCTCCAAATATGAAGGTAAAGATGCACCTGAAAGATGCACCTTATGACCCATTGTTGCCTAAGAACAGATATCCACCTGAGTGCTTGCTGGGGGAGAGATGTCAGCAGCAGCATCGGGCGGCAGCACCACCTCCTGGGCCACCTGAAGATACTCCTGAACGTCCAGAGGCCGGCCAAACTCCACAGTCACCCGTCTGCGCTGGGGAATTGTGCGGCCCTTTGGTAGAGCCTCAAAGGTGCCCTGGGTGGGTGGGTGGCAGTTGGATGAAGTATGGGCAGGAGAAGATTAGGAGAAAAAGAGCTAAAAAAATATTCCTGAACCTTCAGAGGCCGGCCAAACTCCATGGGTGTCTACGCTGGGGGATGGTGCGGCCCTCTGGTAGAGCTTCAAACGTGCCCTGGGTGGAAGGGTGGCAGTTGGAGTTTGGGTAGAAGAAGGGGAGCGAAGGAGTGTTGAAAGGTACGCGTGAACGTCCAGAGACCACTCAAACTCCACAGCCCCCTTTCTTTGCAGAGGGATCGTTGGACCACGTGTTCAGAGACCCCTGAAATGAGTGCCTCATTCACTCACTCTCTCACTCACTCACTCACTCACTCACTCAGACAACAGCTCTCACCTGGACACAGACTGGCACGACAGGCACGTCCAGCTGCTCGGCCAGCAGCCCCACGCGTGACTTGAACGGCTGCAGGGCTCCAGTCAAGGAGCGAGTTCCGTCAGGGAATATGAGCACTGATGTGGGGTGGTGAGGTCACTCACACACTGCGGGGTGCTCTCACCTGGACGCACACAGGAACCACGGGCACGTCCAGCTGAACTGCCAGCAGCCCACGCCTGACTTGAAGGGCCGCAGTGAGCCGGTCAAGGAGCGGGTGCCCTCAGGGAAGATGAGCACTGCTGTGTGTAAGGGCACTCCCTCACACACTCCTTCATAAAACGGCGCTTACCTGGACACACACTGGCACCACAGGCACGTCCAGCTGCTCTGCCAGCAGCCCCACGCCCAACTTGAAGGGCTGCAGTGCGCCGGTCAAGGAGCGCCGGTCAGTGCACCGGACTGGGCTCACCTGGACGCACACAGGGACCACAGGCACGTCCAGCTGCTCTGCCAGCAGCCCCACGCCTGACTTGAACGGCTGCAGCGCACCGGCGAGGGAGCGGGTGCTTTCCACGAAGATGAGAACTGCTGTGGGGCGATGAGGTCACTCACTCACTGGGGAGGGGTGCTCTCACCTGGACGCACACGGGCACGACAGGCACGTCCAGCTGCTCTGCTAGCAACCCCACGCCTGACTTGAAGGGCTGCAGTGCGCCACTGAGGGAGCGCGTGCCTTCAGGGAAGATGAGCACCGCTGTGGGGCGGTGAGGGCCGCTGGTTGCCTTGACCTGCAGTAGGGTGTCGAGCTGGTGGTGAGATTAAGGAGGAGTGAAACAGGAGGAAAGGGTAAAGCAAGGAGAGCAACGAAGCCATGAGAGTTGCTGTGGGGCGGTGGGGACTGCTGGTTGCCTTGACCTGCAGCAGCGTGTCGAGCTGGTGGTGGGAAAGGGAGGAGAGAGGAAGAGGAGGGAAGAGGAAGAGAAGAAACGGACGTTAGGATAACGAGAGCAAGGAGGGGAGGATGAGCACTGCTGTGGGGCGGTGGGGGCCGCTGGTTGCCTTGAGCTGCAATAGGGTGTCGAGCTGGTGGTGAGATTGAGTGATAGGGTTGTGGGAGAGGGCATGGGTTGCGGGAGAGGAGCGAGAACAGGGCTGTAGGAATGTAGAGGAGGGTTAATGACGAGAGGAATTAGAGAGTGATGAGCACTGCTGTGGGAGAAACCGGGCTCCTCTTCTTGGCATCCGATTTGTCCACATCAAATCTACTTGCACACAGCATAGCACTTGCATAGCATGTGTGCGTGCACCATACCTCTTACATGTGCAAAGCAGCGTAGCTCTTGCATGTGTGCGTATGCCACACAGCATACATGACGTACCTCTTGCTGGGAGAACTTGCGGCGGTTGATGGGGATGACGTGCATGCATGTGGTGACGAACCATGCCTGGTAGGTTGGGAGGGACGAGGGGTGGGAGAGATGAGGGGCCGCAGAGATGAGGGGCGGGAGAGTTGGGGAAGACGGATGGTTGATGGGGATGACGTGCATGCATGTGGTGACGAACCACGCCTGGTGGGGTGGGAGGTAGAGCGGGTGAGAGAGATGAGAAGTAGGAGGGATGAGGAAGGCGGATGGTTGATGGGGATGACGTGCATGCATGTGGTGACGAACCATGCCTGGTGGGGTGGGAGGGACGAGGAGGAGAGATGGATAATGAGAACAGTGTGCGTGAACGTGGTAGAAACACTCTTTCTGTGATGAAAGTACAGTGCCTGCCAGGTGTGTGTCTGTAACAGGCAGTCAAATGTCATCCCTGCCAGAAGGGGGTTGCTGAAGAAGTAGTCCCGACGAGCTGACTGTTGCTGTCTTGACTGTTGCTGTCTTGACTTCAGACGTGTCAGAACTGGTTCACCAGGTGTGTGTCAGCCTCAGCCCCACAAATACTGTCTGTACCAGAAGGGGGTTGCTGAAGGATTAGTCCCGACGAGCACCCAGCGCATGACTGTTGCTGTCTTGACTTCAGACGTGTCAGAACTGGTTCACCAAGTGTGTGTCAGCCTCAGCCCCACAAATACTGTCTGTACCAGAAGGGGGTTGCTGAAGAAGTAGTCCCGAGCTCCCAGAGCATACACCCGCTTGACCGTGTTACCACCCAAGCTGACTGAAATAATACTCTATACGCACAGTGTCAGGTGCGCTGACAAGCAGTCAATTTCCATCGTACCAGAAGGGGGTTGTTGAAGAAGTAGTCCCGAGCACCCAGCGCATACACCCGCTTGACCTTCTTGCCATGCTTGCTGGAAGTGATGGAAGTGCAGTGCCCAATGTGTGCCTGTCTGTGCTTTTCAGCTACTTTCCCTACCAGCAGGGGGTTGCTGAAGAAGTAGTCCCGAGCTCCCAGAGCATACACCCGCTTCGCACCGCCCGTCCACGCGCCCACAAACGTGGCCCCGCAATCCAAGTGGCTCTGAGGAAAGGCAGGATTATCATCAGAAGCACCAGAAAATAAACATATATACGATCGTTATTGTCACACGCAGAGGAAAGCAAAGCAGACAGAGAGGCAAAATATATGATCGGTTCCAGTCTTTGTATACATATATACTGGACAACAACAGATGAAGTTCATGGGGTGAGAAAACAGCAGCGTGGCACCCACCGAATGATTGCACGCCATGAAGAACATGCCACGATCCAATGGCAGATTCTCCGTGCCACGTGTCTCCTGTTCATTGGCACGTGCAACAAGGGAATGAGAGAGTCAGTAATTATACCATTGCCCACACTTGCATAACACTCCCGTAACATAACATAACATTCCCCTGAGCCACCCAGCCTTTCCTACAGTCACACACAATATGACCCAATAGTCACGCTCACCTGAACCACACTCACACGCACGCCCAGTTGTGCAAGCCACCTTTTCCCTATGCTCCCCACACACGATGAAAAAAAGAAGAAAGAAAGAAAGAAAGAAAGAAAGAAAAAAGCTTCTTTCTGAAACCACACTCACCTGAGCTCCACACTCACCACACTCCCCCTCCTTCCCAATGCTGTAACCGTCAACCATCAATCCATGCTTATTGTCAACGTAACCGGTGCTGATAACCAGCTTTCTCTATAATCACACTGACCTGAGCGAACCAGCTTTCGTAGAGCCATCTCCCCCACAGCCAAAACAGCCGCTCCACAACCCCCTCCTTCCCAATGCTGTAACCCTCAACCACCAAGCCATCCCCATCCGCCGACGTAACCCGTGCTGGTAACCGAGATCGATTCTTTCGCGCCTGGCGAATCAATCTCGCCTGTATTCGCCTCTGGAGGCTTCGAGGGGAGCTTCTTCTCGTGCTTGTGCTCCTCGAAGGAACTCCGGATTCGCCTTGCTTTTCATGGTCTCCTGTTTTTAGCTCCAAAACCGCTCGCGGCTCGCTGGAACTCTCTTGTTCGGCTGGTTCGCTTGTGTCGGAGCTTTCGCCTTGCGCGAAGCGCTCTGCGTTTGCGATGGAAGTTGACGGAAGCTGGTCGCTAACGTTTATGCTAACGGAAGAAAGCGATCCGTTACAGTCAGGTTTGCTCGTTCGAGCATCGGAGACGGAATGCAGGTTCCGCGGGGGATGTTTCTCGCGGGTGCGTGCTTCTGAAGAGCAGCCAATGTCAACCAACCGGGCATGCGTAACCCTTGGTGGAATTTTAGCATTGATTCTGTCAGTTTTAGCTAAAATGCAGCTGCTTGTACTGCCTACCACAAAATGGGGAAGAGGAAGCGACGACATCGGGAACCCGGAACGTGGAACTGTGATGACTCGTAGTTAACTTCTGGTTCGTATCAGGCCACACTTGGACCGGCTATTGCGACGAATGCAGAAAGGCGACGGTTTATTAGAAGGCGGGAAGGACACGAGCGGAATAGAGCTATGAATAAGCGAGGTATGAAGCCATATCAATGAAGTAACTCGGTTCCTACATCTCTGGTACCAGCCGTTTCACGATGGCCGGACAAATCTTGCAATTCCATGCCGTCCAGTTCTGCCTGTGGGTAGGGCGTGTCTGAATACATGCAAATGCGGCTCAAAGGTGTTTGATACGATCTACAATGGTTTATAAACTTTTAAGGTTTGGTACGAAAGTCGTCCGAACTTTTTGTCCCTGACAGTTCCCAGGGAGCTGCGGGAGGGAGTTGTCAGGAAAGCCCGGGACTTGGTGCGAAACGCCTCGGCACGGCACGGTTCGGTTTGGGACGGCTCAAAACTATTCGTCAACCCCAAGGAGCATTTTCGGGCCCCAAAGCAGATTCCTCCCAGCCAAGCGCAAAACTCGTCGTAGCAGCGGTCGTCAACCAGTGAGCGATGAAAGGAACGAGCGCATTCTGATTGGTTAATTCAGGTAAGATGTACGGCTTCGATGCACCTGAAGGCTTCATTGGAGCAAAAGCACAGTTCTTGAGAATATGCTCAAAATGTTACACTAAACTGCCACAATGCCAGAAAAAAAAACACATTAATAAGTAGAGTAGACACTTGTGAAAGCACAAAATGTCACAAAATGTTAGAAAGTAGATCCTGATAGTGAACTGCAGAGTGATTTAAACTAAACGAAATCAGATAGAAGGTTCAAAACTTAAGAAAGCAAACCAAATCTGCCATCCACAGGTACACACAAGTAACTGCAATTGCATCTTCACTTAACCACAACCTATCTCAACATTCTCAACTGAAGCGGATGCCATTGTTTCCCCTCCACATTCACAGGGTTACCCGAACCCAGCTCCAAACTCGACTGTTAGTCCAGCACTCGAAAGCATCAACCTTTTCCAGCTGCTGCACCTGTCCCTCCCACTGGAGTCTCAACAATCGATAGCAACACCCACCTAAGTGCAGCCAAAACTTTCTGCAACAGCTGCTTCATAAACCCTCCCCTACTACAGCTGCAACTGCAGCTTCATTCCACATTCAGCTTCAGCTTCATTCTGCAACAGCTCCGGTCTCAGCTTCATTCAGCCACTCACTCTGCCACAACTGCAGTCTCAGCCTCCAGCTCAGCCTCTGCAACTACAGCTACCCCCTCCGCTACTGCTGCAGGCTCAGCCACATCAGCAGTTCCAGTTATGCCCTCTGCTTCTGTTTCTGCTACAGCTGCAGCCTCTGCTACAGGTGCCTCGGTTCCCGCCTCTGCAACTGCTGCTCCTGCTTCCTCTGCTATGGCTGCCTCCACTCCACCCGGTGATGCTGCCTCTGTCACAGCTTCTGCCTCCTCTGCTACAGCCGCCGCTGCTGCCTCCTCTGCTACAGCTGCTGCAATTGCCTCCTCTGCTGCAGCCGCTGCTGCTGCGGCCTCCTCCACTACAGCTGCTGCAGATGCATCCTCTGCTACAGCCGCTGCTGCTGCTGCTGCCTCCTCTGCTACAGCTGCTGCTGCTGCCTCCTCTCGTGCAAGCCATGGCTCACCAGTCGCCCCTGCCAGTGACCTTTCCACTGCTTCTGCTGCAACTTCTCCCTCTGTTACTACCTGCGCCTCTCCTTGCTCCCCTTCCCCTTCCCTATGCCCCTGCACCTCCCCTTCCACCGCACCCGCCCTCCCCTCTCCGCTCTCAGTTCCAGTCGCCACAATTGCAGCCTCATCCATCCCCATCTCCTCAAGCCTTTGAGGCGCGTCAACAGGCGCCTCAGCGGGCACCTGATCAGATACCTGATCCGGCACCTGATCAGACACCTGATCAGGTGCCTGAACTGGCGCCTCAGAGGTTGTTCCAGTTGCCACAACCACAGTCGCCTCATCCATACCCATCTCCTCCATCACTGCATTGGCTACCTCAATCTGCGACGCAGTTACCTCAAACTGCGACGCGGTTACATCAATCTGCGACTCGGTAACCTCCATATTAGCTGCCTCGATCTGTGACTCTGTCACCTCCATATGAGCTGCTTCATTATGTGATACTGTCCCCTCCATGTCAGTTATCTGCTGGTTTTGTGACACCATTCCCTCCATGCGAGTCGCCTCAAAAGCCATGTCTATTTGAGACGCTGTCAGTTCCATCTGTGATGCTGTTACTTCCATCTGAGACACTGTCAATTCCTCCTGGGGTGCTGTTGCTTCCACCTGGGGTGCTGTTGTTTCCACCTGAGGCGCTGTTGTTTCCACCTGGGGAGCTGCTGTTTCCACCTGAGGCGCTGTTGTTTCCACCTGGGGTGTTGCTGTTTCCACCTGAGCTGCTGCTGATTCCACCTGAGGCGCTGCTGCTTCCATTTGAAGCACGTTTGTTTCCACCTGAGGCGCTGCTGTTTCCACCTGAGGCGCTGCTGCTTGAGTCACACCCAACGCCCCTCCCAAAACTGCCCTTGGTTCTTGAGCTTCTACCACAGGAGGAACCACCTTCTCCCCTGCCTTACCCTCCTCAATCGCCTCCTCTTCCTCCTCTTCCATGTCCTCATCCTCTGGCATGTAGTTATCCTCTCCAATCACCAAGATACTCTCCACGCCCTTCCACACCAGCACTTCCAATAGAGAGTGCTCCGTGCCCTCGTATTCCACCTGTGCTAAATTGGAAAATAAAAGAAGATACTGAATGTCATTCTCCTCCTCACCACCACCAGAATGCTCCCCACGCCCTTCCCCACCACCTTCGCCCGCCCACTTACACACAATAAAACAAACGTGTGTTGCATGAACTCACCGTGTATTTCTTGGTGTCTTCATCAAATGCAGTAATCTTCCCTTCAGTCAGCACTCCCTCAAAATCCTTCAGCACGCTTTTCCCCACCACCTTCGCGCCTGGCCCTGGAACCACCGCTTCCGCCACCCCATTACCCCTCCCAACCACTCCGTGCGCCCCATGTGCTCCCATCATCCACCCCTCCCCTCCCCCCATTCCACCACCCCCCCAGTCGCCCGCGCCCAACCAATCAGCGTCATCTCCCGGGTAACTCCCGTTTCCGCTGGCATAATAGCCCTCAGTATAAGCCCACGCACCATAGGCACTCCTCCCCCTGCCTCGCCCTCTCCCCCTTCCTCTTCCCCTCCCTCTCCCTCTCCCCCTCCCTCTCCCCCTACCCCTCCCTCTTCCTCTTCCTCTCCCTCTCCCTCTTCTTCCCCCTACACCCATCTGGTCATCCCAATACAGGCCTCCTGGGATATAATCCTCATCTTCCCCTCCTCTTCCTCTACCTCCCCCTCCCCCTCTCCCTCCTCCTAAGGGCTGCTCCTGCTGAAGCGCCTGGATACGAGCCTACGTCATCCCCTTGGTAATAAGGATCATAGCCTGTTGCCGCAAAATCCTCAGTGGGATGAACCCTGATGCGCGAACCATCACTCTTCCCAGTAGCACCTACCCCAGTTATACCTACCCCAGTTTCCCCCTTTCCGCGCTTGTTGTGAGGCCCTATTTCCTCTTCACCCCCACGTGCCACAGATTCTGGATATAAAATCGTATCTTCTCCTGGCTCCCGCACACGCTTTCCCAGTGCCGTGAGTGCAGTCTCGGTCTGCTCAGGAGTAGAAACAGCGGCAGGAGCAGCAGCAGCAGCAGGAGGAGGAACAGCAGAAGCCGGCTTAGCAGCAAGAGCAGGAGCAGGGGCAGCAACAGGCGGTTTGGCAGCAGGAGCAGGCGCAGGTGTTGCAGCGGCTGCAGTTGCGGCAGGAGGAGCAGGAGCAGCAGCGTCTGCTACAGAGGCAGGAGGAGGAGCAGCAGCAACAGCTGGATCCACATGACTAGGAGCGGGGGCAGCAGCAGCAGCAGCAGGGGCAGCAGGGGCAGCAGCAATGCTGTCTGGAATTTTCCGCGGTCTACCTCTGCCCCTCCCTGCTCCACCCCTGCCTCCTCCCCCCGGCCTGCTGAGCGTTGCATCCTTTTCCGCAGCTACCTCCGTGCGTTCATCCATCAGCGTCGCCCTGTTGGCCTCAGACCTGAGGAGGATGTGGGGAGGGAAAAACACCATTCCAGCGAAAGCATTACTTGAACCCAACCAGTATCAGGCGTTGCCTCCTCCGCAGCTACCTCCGTGCGTTCATCCATCGGCGTCGCCCTGTTGGCCGCAGACCTGAGGTGGACGGGAGGAAACGTACAAGCGCCATCAGCACCAAAGCACTAGAACTCAGAAGCGACGTCAGGTGTTGACTCTTCCACGGCTACCTCCGCGCGTTCATCCATCAACGCTGCCCTGTTGGCCCTAACCCTAAACTTCCTCTGCAAGCTACTCTTTTTCTGAAGCGCCTCTCAAACTGACCCCGGCTTTCCCTCTTTCCACCCTAGCTCTGTATGCTGCGCTCAACTTATCCTTCCCTTCCGTCCCCATCACCCGTTTCCACCCTCCCCAAAACAATAGCAACAGCCCGTTATTTTGCTCTACTAACCAGTAAAATCAAGCACGCCCTTATTTTCCACATAAATGCACGTGTTCCTAAAATTGTGAACAATTTTTGAAACGATTCTTACAGCCGGAACCCACTCACCAGGTCTCGATGTCCGCTTTAGTAGCCTTCTCTTCATTTTCCGATAAAAGCAACTGCTCCACCTCAGCTACCTCCAGATCCTCCGCATCACCATCCTCATATCGAACCTGCCAGAACCGCGAACACGGAGAAAAGGAGCCACGCAAACCCCTCTTATATGACTCTCCCACCTTGCATCTTCTCATGGGAAGAGAACGTGACGGGCAGATTGACCCAACCGCGCCACATGAGAGACCTGATGACGACCCGCGTGAGAAAGTTTGCGATAATATCCGCCACAGAACAGTACAAAAAAAGTCTCACCTTGTACCAGTTCTCCTCGCGGTCATAATGGAAGACGCGCCCAAGGTACGGCACGCCGCCGAAGCTCTTTCGAACGAGACGGCCCAATAACTCAGCACCAGCAGGAGGAGCAGCAACCTTATTCCCTTGAATCATAGCACCACCTCCAGCAAGCGACGCGCCTGCAAGCGACGCACCGCCATCCACATCCATGATATCCACGTCCCCTTCTTCCCCGTCCTTCTCGCCCTCCCCGCCATCCACGGCCCTTGTAGCGGCCAGTTCGACGGTTACAGCGGGTGGTGGTTCGATGTCTACAGCCCACGGATCGTCAGCGACTGCAGCGTCGCCCTCAGCCTGCGGCTCATTGTCACCCCCCTTCCCAGCATTTTCACTGGCATCGACGGTCGTAATCGCATCAGCGGCCTTGGGAACATCGGGCTTAGAGTCGTCGCCAGCTTTATCCTCAACAGCGGCCGTGTCGGCCGTGTCGGCCGTTGACAGAACACCCGCTTTAGCTTCAGCGTCCGTATCAGTTTTCTTTTCGATGTCGGTCTTCTCTCCGGTCCTAGCCACGTCATGCCCTACTTGACCAGCCACAGTACTAGCATCAACCTTAGAATCACCGATGGACTTAGCGTCACCCCCAACAGCGTCAACTTGAACAGCAGACTTGGTATCAGCGCCAACTTGAGCTTCAGAATCAGTCTTAGCATCTGGTCCCGCCATATTCGCGGCAGCGGTTGTAGCGTCAGTCCCGGCTACAGGTGCAGCAGGTCCAGTCGTGGCTTTAAGAGGGGCATTAGTGGCAGAGGGGATTGCTTCTGGGACAACCGCAGTCGTGGACGCGATTTGCTGCTGCGTCGACGCGTCTACAAGCGGGACTTCCGCAACTGGTGGAGGTTCGGAGTTTGTTATAGCGTTGTCGTCCATTGTCACTGTAGTAGAGATAATCTCTGGACTAAAACGAAACTCGAGGTAGTGATTAAAACGCTACACCACAGAAAACGCGAAAGTTCGACAGGACTTGGGATGAGGAGTTCGCTATGGCTGCTTCGTGCTAACGAAACCGCGCTCGCGATCCCGTGACCACAAGTTCCGTGACCAGTTATGTCTTTGCGACGACAGACGAGGGAACAGACGAGGGAACAGACGAGGCAAAAGCTGGGAAAGCGAACAACCCCTTTGTTCGAAATCGGTAATCACGGGTGCCAGGTTCGCGACGCGCAAGCAAGCAAGGGGGAGTGGCGAACAGAGGACAATCGAGGGATCGAGAAGAAGGGTTGATCGGGAAATGCTTGGAGGAGGGATCGTCACTATCGACGGCTTAGCGCGCAGAACGGAAACCTTTGACCCCTGGGATTTCCAAAAATGCTCGTTCAAATCGTCGAACTGCAAGCAAACCTGCGTACAGAGGTGCAAAGCAAACCCTTATCCCTAATGGCTGTTTCTTTTCACTTTGTAATGGTAGACGGGAAAAGAACATCAGTAGCTAAGAATCTACGCTCTATTGTTCGGTTCACGTGGCAACTGGCATGCCTTGAAGATTTCGTTCATGAATAAAGCTCTGTTTCTATATACGTGGATGCGTCAAAGAATTTCTTTGTTTGTGAACACGTTTCTGGTTTCCAATTGCCGTTACTTGTTGTGCATTGAAAGACTAATCTTTTGTACCAGCACAGAGGCGGGAAGGCTGTTAAGCGGTATATCCGTGCGCCCAAAATCATCTCGCACGTCTTTGCCGCTGGGTGTTGCAATCTGACGGCATTGACAAACGAGAAACAAGTTTTTCCGAAATCTTGGGGAATGTCAGGTTCTTCATCCTACAGTATAAAATATCTGATTGTCACCTTGCTTTACAGAGGTCGGTCGAATCGAATGATTCGGCAGCTTCCCTGTGGAAAGCTTTCCAATCACCGTGATGCTTACCGTTGATCTTCCCACCAAATTGCATTCGTAGGCGTGTCGCATAGATCGACGCGCAACATGTGTGCGCTTTTAGCCGATTTCCCAGTTCCTAAACAAGTTGTGGAACGACGGATGGGATTGTGCTGTTCCCTCCATCCACCGCGCCATCATCCCTTGGTTCTCAAATCCCTTTCACAAGGCAACCGCCACATGCCCGCCACATTCACACACCACAACCACCATCAAACCAGACCCAACAACTCAAAGTTCCCGCGCAGGCTTTTCCCCCAGTGATGTTCCCCCACCCCTTCGTCCCCCCTATCCCCCCCCGCATTTCCCAAGCGGGCAACACGCACCCCGCAGCAACCAGCAGTGCACACCAGCCGCGGGATTATAGTCTCTCGTCGTAACATCTCAACCGTTCATCGTCATCGAGAATGATTTATCCCACATTCCACCAACATCTCAACGGTGATGGGAAACCGAAATTCGCGTGAATCTCGAGGTGCGTGAGATGTTTCCCCCTCGCTGCTTCGTTTCCCCTCCAACCAACTTCGACCAGCAGCTGTTTCTTTGCTTCCACCAGTCCGTTGTGTCGAGCTGTCAAGCTGTCAAGCTCCTCGAATTCGTGCGGACAAGCAGTCAATGTTTCTAGTGTTGGCGATTCCAGCGAAGTAAATTACTTTTCCAGTAGAAGGCTTCGGCTGCGCCCGAGCTGGAAGGTGGGATCATCGAATAGCTCCCGCGCATTACGTGAAAAAGAAGAATCACAATAAATTTTTGATAGGAAATATCGTTGGAGCTGTCGCCAAAGTTCGTGTACTCGCCATTGGATTCGACAGTTCTGGGTGTCAGTAGCTTGGACATTTTCTGGGTTTTGGTGGCCTCATGAACGCTGTGCATGTCACGCAATGCAATGTGCTTGCAGCCATGGCGAGCTAGAGATACTATTGTAGGCGAGGGTCCGACCCGTACAGGCAGGGTTGACTAATAACTCAATCCGAACGGAAGTCCTCTGAACGAGCGTGTAGGAAAGGTCAAGCTCCGTACAAGCGGTTATAAGTAGCATGGAGCAACAGCCCCCGGACCGCATGTGCTTCCATCAGAACGCCGGCGCCGACGCGGGAAGCAGCAGCAGCGGTAGCGACGGTAGCACAGGATCCGAGACTTACGGTAAGAGGAAGCGGAAGCGGAGGCGGAAGCGGAAGCGGAAGCCAGGCGTTTGCTGCTCTCGCGCAGCGACAATGTCGAGATCGTGATCGACGGCCAGGATTCTAGTTCCGAATCAGTCAACGCCGCCACCGGGCAGAGGTCCGGCGGCGTCCGCAGCAGCGGATGCTTCCGCGTGACAACAACGAGCGCGAACGCAGCGTGGTCAAGCACGCGATTGACGCACTGCTTCGTTAACAACAGTCCCGCTACAAGCAGCTCCGATAGCAGGTTCGGTTCCAGCACGAGCAACGACTCCACAGCCAGCAGCAGCAGCAGCAGCAGCAGCGGCAGCGGCGGCAGCGGCGGCAGCTCCAGTACCTCTAGTCCGGGTCGCGCGGACGATGATGTCAGCAGCGGCCGTGGCGAGAATGCGCTTGGCCCCGAGTTTGCCGACGGGGGTGGCGCGCAGTCGACGGAGAGCGCGGGAGGAGGTAGCGCGGAGGAAAGATTGCGCGGGAGAGCGTCGGCGCAGAGGATGTGGTTCGGCGCGCGCGCAGCGAGGGGCGCAAGGAGGGTTGCGCGCCGCGCGGAAGGGGCAGAAGGGGAGGCGCAGGGAAGGAGCAGGAGCAGGACAAGGGGGGGCGTGCGGAGAGCTGCGGCGGAATCCGCGAATGCGCATGAGGGGGACGATGAGGGGGAACGGGGGAATGGGCGTGTGAACGGGGGAGCGGAACAAGGGGCGAGTGAATGTAATGATCAGCGTCCGCTATCTGTGGTGATACATGGGCCTGGTTCGTCGTTCTTTGTTGGAACGCAGGTTGTTTATAACGGGGATGGAGGCCAAGGGCGTGACGCGAGCAATAGGGAACGTAGCAAGAGTAGAAGTCCCGTTAAAGAGCTGAAGGAGAAGCACAAGATTGATGCCGATACAGGGGCTTTTAACGGGGATGCAGGAGCATCCCCGGAGTGTATTATATTAGAGAAATCCTGCAGCGTTTCCTGCCACGCTGAGGCGCATAACGGGGCCGCTATAAACGCGTATTATGACCCGGTGGAAGGCAGCCACGCAATGGGAGGGGAGGAGAGTGACGGCAGCTGTAGCAGCTATTGTAGCAGTTACTGCAGTGACGACAGCAGCTGTAGTAACGAGGGAGGCAAGGGCGACGGGCTTAGAGAGAAACGCACTGGCGGAGGAGGCGGGGACGGGGGCGAATTTATAGACTTCCATTTTGGTAAGGAAATAGGACGTTTAGCAGAGATGAGAGGGATTTCCGTTTATATCATTTGTGAGAGGAGAGGGATTTCCATATATAGCTTTTGTGAGATCGACAGGTCCCCACATCAATTTGGCTCAATCAAATGTATTTGTCTACACCTGTCGACTTCTGAGGCGACTTTTGAGGCGTCTTAAAAGCTGTCTACGAACCACTGAAATCTACATTCAGAGTACACCTGTCCACGTTAAGGACACATCCTGCCACTCCCGCTCACTTCTCTCCTCCCCTTTCCCTTTTTTACAATCCCCCCACCCACCTTCCATCACTCCCATCAGTGAGCGCGTCAGGCGAATCAGAGGGCTCCACGTGGATAGAGGCGGTGCACCTGGTGCTGCCACCTGTCATCCCGCGCTCCTCCTCCCAGGCCACGTTGGACGCGCTACAGGCGCCAAACGGCACAGCTGGCATGGAGCCTATACTGGACGCTAAATGGGAGGCGCGTTTCAAGAGGACCAAGCGGGTCTTCACGTGTCTGCTGCTGTTAGGATGCCTCCTCTACATCGCCGCCTTCCTCTGTAAGTGCACACCCCAGACGAATGGTTTTGCTGGTTCGTCTCGTGCCCAGCCAATGTATGCAGCACCTCAGGAGGGGCCTCGGAAAGTGAGTCAAGTCGTGTCTCAGGATGCGCTACAGGCTCAGCTGGCATGGAGCCTCTATTGGACGCCAAGTCGGAGGCGGGCTTTAAGAGCACCAAGCGGGTTTTCACGTGCCTGCTGCTGCTGGGCTGTCTTCTCTATATCGCTGCCTTTCTCTGTGAGTTCACACCTGGAAGAATCCCTAATAGATTACTCAGAATTCGCCTCTCCTTCCTCCAAGGAAAAAAACAAAAATAAAAAAAGGGGGTAGAAAAGGATGTTCACAGACAGGCCGTTTTCCTGAGCCCCCTCTTCACCTCTCGCCATCCCGCTTCACCCTACTGAACCCCGCTCTTTCCTCCACCCTTGTGTATCCCCGTGCTTCCCAGCTGGCATCATTGTCAACAGCACCACTGGCGCCCCTGCAGCTGCAATCGTCCTCTGCTTCACCACTACTTCGGTTCCCCCCTCTTTCTCCCCTTCTTTCTCCCTGTGCTTCCCAGCTGGTATCATTGTCAACAGCACCACTGGCGCCCCTGCTGCTGCAAACACCACCAACGGCAACCCCGCTGCTGCTGCTCTTCCTTCACATGCAAGCAGCAGTGGCGGCAGTGGCAGCAGCATCAGCAGCAGTTTTGGTGGGGTTGCTGGCACCAGTTTTGGTAGCGATTACTCTCCCGACATTCCGCCTACCGATCATACTTATGTCACCAGCAGCACCAGCGGCAGCACCAGCGGCACCAGCAGCAGCACCAGCAGCACCAGCAGCAGCAGCAGCAGCGGCAGCAGCAGCAGCAGCAGCAGCAGTGTCGGTGGCGGTGCTGGCAGTTTTGATGGCGATTATCATCCTGACATGTCGCTTAATGGGTACAGTTACCTCGCTGACAGCAGCACCACCAGCAGCACCACCAGAAACACCAGCAGCAGCAATGGCGGCAGTCCCAGTAGTAACATTCCCAGCAACAACACCACCACTGGTGATGGTAGCACTGGCAGTGGTGGTGATGGTGGTAGCAGTGGCAGTGGTGGTGGTGATGGTGGTAGCAGCCGGGATAATGTGCCAATTGCTGCCCTTCTTGATGGCATGGCAGCATCCATGCTCACTTCACAAACCCTCTGGGTTGCCATGTCATACCTGTGAGTTGCCGGGCCTCTTAGTTGCCAAACCTCTTAGTTGCCGAGCCTCTGAGTTGCCGAGCCTGTGGTAGAAGCAGGGATGATGTTCCTATCCCCAGCCGTCTAAATGGCATGGCAGCATCCATGCTCACTTCACAAACCCTCTGGATCGCCATGTCTTACCTGTGAGTTGCCAAAGTGAGCCTGTGAGTTGCCGAACCGAACCTGTAAGTTGCTGAACCGACCCTGTAAGTTGCCGAACCGAACTTGTGAGTTGCCAAACCGGTGAGTTGACAATCCGAGCCTGTGAGTGGTTGAGCCTGTGGCAGAAGCAGGGACGATGTGCCAATCGTCGCCCTTCTTGATGGCATGGCAGCATCCATGCCCACTTCATAAACCCTCTGGATTACCATTACTATTAAGACTACCATTACCATTACCATTACCATTACCATTACCATAACCATCACCACTACCATTACCATTACCATTACCACTACCATTACCATTACCATTACCACTACCATTACCATTACCATTATCACTACAACTACTATTACCATTACTAATACCATTGCCTTTACTACTACCATTACCATTATCATGACGAATATCGTTACCATTACCATTACCATTACCATTACCGTTACCATTACCATTACCATTACCACTACCATTACCACGACCATTACCATGATGATTACCATTACCATTACGACTACTATTACCATTACTAATACCACTACCATTACCATTATCACTACCATTATCACTATTCTTATCATTATCATTACCATTACCAATACTATTACAACTACCATTACCATTACCATTACCATTACCATTACCACTACCATTAACATCACCCCCTTCAACAACCCTCTGTCTTACCTGTGAGTTGTTGAACCGAACCTGTGAGTTGCCGAGGCTGTGAGTGGATGAGTGGGGAAGAATGTTTCTATTGCCGCCCTTCTCGATTCAATGGTAGCATCAATGCTCACTTCACAAACCTCTGGATTGTCGTGTCTTACCTGTTAGTTGCCGAACCTGTGACCAGCTGACTTGTTGTGCGTTCATTGGCCATAACCTGACCTTTTATTTCCCATTCCCCCCTTTTCCCGTTTCCAACCCCTTCTATTTCCCAAACGCCGCAGCATTCTGTACTTGGTGATTGCAAGCCTTGGCTTGGCTGGTGCTCATTACAACAACGTGGTATGTGCTGCTGCTGGCACTGCTGCTGCTGCCGCTGCTGCTGCTGCTGTTGCTGCTTCTGCTGCCCCATCCCCTCTCCTTGTATTCCTGCTCCTCCCTTCTTCTTCCGTTATCCAACTCCCCTCGCTCCCCGTCCCATTCCATCATGTTCCTCGTCTCACTGCTTTTCTGGCAAAGCTCCATCCCCTGTCCCCCAATTCCGTCTCTTTGTGCTCTGTTGATCAGTCTCCTGGAGGTCCCTTTGTATTCAATGACTCACTGCCCTTTTTATCCTCCCTATTGCCTTCCTCACTACAGAGCATGATGACCCTGTACATCTTCATCCAGACTACAGTGACAATCATATCAGTCCTCGATTCCATTCGTCCTTTCCTCCTCTTCTGCATCCTGCTGATAATTCTCGCTATCCACATCAGATTCCATATGCTTTCTGTAAGTAAACTTCGTACTCAATATAGACTGCATTCCCCTCGGTTCCGTCCGTCCTTTCCTCCTATTCTGCATCCTGCTGATAATTCTCGCTATCCACATCAGATTCCATATGCTTTCTGTAAGTAAACTTCGTACTCAATATAGACTGCATTCCCCTCGGTTCCGTCCGTCCTTTCCTCCTATTCTGCATCCTGCTGATAATTCTCGCTATCCACATCAGATTCCATATGCTTTCTGTAAGTAAACTTCGTACTCAATATAGACTGCATTCCCCTCGGTTCCGTCCGTCCTTTCCTCCTATTCTGCATCCTGCTGATAATTCTCGCTATCCACATCAGATTCCATATGCTTTCTGTAAGTACACTTCGTACTCAATATAGACTGCATTCCCCTCGGTTCCGTCCGTCCTTTCCTCCACTTCTGCATCCTGCTGATAATTCTCGCCATCCTCATCAGATTCCACATGCTATCTGTAAGTACAGTGTTTACTCGATATAAGCTGTTCCGAGACGCATCAGTACACCTCTTCCCCATCCATCCAGTTCTGCTTCCACGTCCACCAATACACCTCGCCCTCGTGATAAGCATGTTCAGCCCTCTCTTTTGCTGATCCCTTCCCCTCCTCCTCCCCTCACCTTCCCTCTCTCCCTCTCGTTCCTTCCTGCCAGATGGAGCTAGCAGAGCGGCGCTTGCTTGCAAGGCTGGTAGGCCGGTCTGCTCCTCCTCCTCGCACTGACACCTGGCCTCACGTAAGCCTCCTTGGTTCCCATGTAAGCATGTCTCACACATAAATGCTTGTTTCTTGTTTATTTTTTACACCTGGTGCTATGTAATCCATTTAGGGGCCTATGTAAGCCCTGTTGCTCCCGAAACTTCTTGTTAGCTCACGCGTATTGTGCTTTCCTGGGCTTGTGCAAGTGTCTCCCACTCTCACACTCTTCCATTGCTTCTCATGAGCTTTCCACCAGATCCTGTTTTCTCACATTCCCTTTTTCGCCCCACCCTTCATCTCCCCCCACTCTTGCCTTTTTCCCTCTCCTCCTAAATTTCCACAATTTTGGCCCTTTCATTTCCAGCGGTTGAGAATGTTTCCTGGAAGTTTCTCGGACATGCTGAGGCATACCCCTGTGTCTCGATTCAGACTGAGTGGGGACCCTTGGTATCAGGAGATTGTTGTGCGGTACAGAGCGAGGAGAGCGGAGGAGGAGAGGGAGGGGGTGCGAGAGAGGAATGAGAGGGGGCGACGGGGAGAGGAGGAGGGAGGAGTGGTAGTGGGTGTAGGAAGGGAAGACAGTCGAGAGCAACAGGGGCAGCAGAGGAGGGAGCAGGGGATATCACAGCAAGGAAGGCAGCAACACATGTTGAGTCTGTGGTGGAGTGGGTGGGGGGGAGCGGGAGAGGGAGGGAGAGGGCGTGAGGAGGGGAGGGGTCGGGAGAGGGGGAGAAGAAGGCACAGGCACATGAGGCGGCGCAGGAGGGATGGACCAGATATGGAGATGAGTGTTCTCGAGGTTACCTTGCATCCACAAATTGAGCAGGCGCAACCCATAGCACCCATACAATACCCCTCTTTGGCAGGAGCAACCCATAGCCTGCCCGTAATGCCCCTCTCCCCAGCACCGCTCGCTCCAGTCACAGCTGATCCTGTGCCGTACTCGAACCTATTCATCTCCCGTGTGCCGTCCCCTCCGGCTTTACATAGCACTACTACTCTAACTCCAGACTCTTATCGTTCACCTGACCCGCTGCTAGGACACAACCATATATGATCAAGTCGATTTTCGTATCTTTGCATGTTATCATATTCTTTGCAAGCTTTGCGAATGTGATTACAGCTGCAATTTCATATGTACATTGTAGCTATATTATTATGATGGATATCATTTACGGTGGAAGGAGCGCAAAGCAAAACGACATTTAGTGTACTAGATCATCGTCCGTGACATTTGAGCGTCACAGGTCCAAGCGAATCGCAACGACTGACAAAGTGCACAGAACGGAATCGACGTCTCTACAGTCGCCACGTCAAACCGGCCTCACCATTCCCGAAGGACGCGACGACCCGATTGACCACGACAGCGAGACGCGGGTCACGACAGCATTCCCGAACCGCATTTTCCAAATCCCTGTTTTCGAATTTCACGCAACTCAACCCCACCCAACAGCCCCAACACCAGCAACAGCAGCATTACTACAAATGCAACTCTTTCTTCCTTCCCAATTCATCCCAAGTCAGGCCAGCTCATCAGAAACCATCTCCTGGAGGTACGCATCCTCTTCCTCGCCTTTGATTCGTCGTCTCTCGCGTTCTCCCAGGCGGTCGCGGCTGTCTTCCGTAGGCTTCTGTCCGGCCGCCTGCAGAGCAGCTGAGTTACGTGCCGCGCCGCCGCAGCTTTGGCGGCTGAAGTTGGCAGTGGCTGGCAGCTGGCAACGACTGGGAGCATGGCGGCATGCAGCATGAATCTGAAGAGGGCGGCCCTCCTGTGTATCATTGCAACTGGCTTCATCAGTGCTTGCGTTTCAAGTAAGTTTATCAGAATCACTCAAATACTGTATTCTTGGCAACCACCGAGTTTCCACTTCTCACTTGCAGCACCGCAATAAATAGCTGTCCTTAGTTTCCCCAAAATAAATTCCTGGACGCTGATCGCATATATTGTTGATCCTTAGTCATTACGCGTCTGACTTTTGTTGTTGGAAACTCAGTGATCCTTCTTGCATGCCTATCACCCCACGAACCTTGACAATCTGCAGGTGGTGTGCAGTCGCCTGGTAGGAAGGATGTAAGCCGGACTTCCAGGGAGTTGAGGTGAGGCTACACACTCGCAAAAACATCCCAACAATGCGACAGGCAGAGATCCGCTACAACAATCATAGATCCGATAAAATAATAGATCCGCTAAAACCATACTCAATTCCGCGTCACCACTGAGCTGCCTGCCCACACCCACATGCTCGGTTTCAAAACACCGTCCCCTCACCCTGCTCCTCCCATGCATTCTCCGATGCCCCCATATCCTCGCTCTGTCCACTGTTGCATCCCACGCAGTGACGGTGGTGGTGCTGGCGGTCCGTTCAACGTGTTCCCTGCACAGTCCTACCTCAACGTCTTCAACTTCAACATCCCCCTGCCTCGCCTGCCTCAGCTGCCCTTCCCCTTCAAGGATAAGTTGAAGGACAAGTTCAATAAGTTCCATAAGTCGCCTCCACCCTCCCCTCCTCCTCCATCTCCCCCTCCTCCATCCCCTTCCCCTCCTCCTCCTTCCCCCCCTCCACCCAAGAAAAAGTCTCCTCCCCCTCCCAAGAAGTCCCCTCCTCCTCCCGAGAAAAAGTCCCCCCCTCCCCCAGTACACAAGTCGCCTCCGCCACCCGAGAAAAAGTCGCCCCCTCCGCCCGAGCACAAATCTCCTCCGCCACCCAAGCACAAGTCGCCCCCTCCGCCGGAGCATAAGTCCCCTCCACCGCCCGAGAAAAAGTCGCCGCCGCCGCCGCCACCCAAACACAAGTCTCCTCCTCCGCCTGAGCACAAGTCCCCCCCTCCCCCCGAGAAGAAGTCCCCCCCTCCCCCCGAGCACAAATCACCCCCTCCGCCCAAGCACAAGTCCCCTCCTCCACCCGAGAAAAAATCCCCTCCTCCGCCTGAGCACAAGTCACCCCCGCCCCCCGAGAAAAAGTCACCGCCTCCACCCGAGAAAAAATCTCCTCCTCCGCCTGAGAAAAAGTCCCCTCCTCCGCCCTCTCCCTCTCCTCCTCCTCCTCCCCCTCCACCCCGCAAGCCATCCAAAAAGGATCACCTCCTCATAATCCTCCTGAAAGGCGCGGCCGTTCTCGTGCGCAAGGCACATGCCATCCTCCCCCCTGGCAACGACTCTCAGAAGGAGGACCTGTGGGATGTGGTGAAGGCACTGAGTGATGCAGAAGTGCTGATCAATGAGGGGAGGCGGGAGCTGGTGCGGGAGCAGTTGGATAACAGTGTGGTGACTTTGGAGGAGGTGGGAGGGAAGCTGCAGGGAGGGTGGGTGCAGGACCAAGCTGCAGGGGGGTTGATTGGCCTGGCTCGCGTGGAGATCATGAAAGCTCAGGCGCTGTTTCAGGAGTGAGAGCAGTGAGTGACAGCAAGCAGGCGCTGTGGAATAAGGGATGAAACGTGGGAGGAGGCAAGTGGGTGCGGCAGCAAGCAGGAGTGGAAGGATGGGTGTAGGATCCCTGGAGATTCTGAGGATGAATGGTCTGAGAGCTCAATGTGAATAATGGAACTGCTGTGGCAAGCAGCAGTGGGACAGCAGCTAGCTGGTGGGAGAACAACTAGCTGCTGTTGGGCTGGCTAGCTGATGAGTAAAAAAAAAAAGGATAAGGACAATGATAAGGATGGATAAGGTGTGCTGCTGCATGTTGTACAAAACACACTCATTAAATAAAGAGATGCGATAACATTTGCACACAGCACAAGTGAAAGACAAGGAAGAGGCCGGTTGACTGGGAGAATCAGTACAGTCAAAACGAAGGAACGACCTGGGCCGGTTGTCTAATATAATCAGTACAGTCAGGGAGGTTTGAGCGACCTGGTGTCTTGATGGCCGTGCGGGTACTTATGCTGTTGAATCTGAAGAATGAATGAATAGATGAAATAAAGGAACTGGATCAAAACGAAGAATGAAACGAGTGAGGAGTAGCTGAGAGTGAACACTACAGAGATTTTAGGTACATGGCCGTTTTCCAGAAAATTTGCTCACTGACTGCGGGATCCGATGAACCTCAATGCCATGCTCCCATGCTCGCCGAGGGTTTCGGCGTAAACAGCTGCATGCTCCAATGCCATGCTTTCCACCGCCGGGACCGTGGTTGCTTGCCGGAGGAACGAGGAGCACGTCCGATGCTGCCGCCAGCCTACAACCCTAACGTAGGAAGGCGAGTTTCCAAGGCGCCTTAAAAATCGCTTCTCTGACGGAGGAACGAGGAGCACGTTCCTAGAATCCTATTTCGCGGATTGATATCATGGTCGCGGCGTACCGCATTATCATGTTGGCTGACTCATCTATTTCCGAAGCGTTTTATTCAGACACATACGTCCCGGTTGAAGCCGCTTGGAACACGCATATACCAACTTCGCCGCGTTTGCTCCGATTGATTACATGGCTGACGTCGACAGAATGCACACAATAGTGACGAATTTCGGGACATTCCGCCTGCACGCACCGCGCAAACGAGATGTGACGGAAGCGGGGAACCAACGGGTCTCGGAGGGTTTACGCTCCTCAGATCAGAAGATGGTGTGTGCTGGGAAGGGAGTTTGGATCTGGAATGATATTGGTTGGGATAAATCTGCGATATTTGATCTGAAGAGGGAAACTGAAGGGAATAGCAGGTGTGGCTTCGGTAGGGGGGATTGACAGCTGTTTTGGGTGAAGAGAGGCTGACAATAGGTTCTGTTGCATCACTACAAATGCTACATTTTGTTCATCAACAATAGACTTGCAAGTACTGGTATCATGCAAACAAGCCTAGTTTACCATGCCAAGTGGCAACCCCCTCTCATTGGTAGCCTAGACAAGAACGGCATTGAGCAAGACATGCTTACAATAACAAAGTGATAGCGCCTAGGGAAACCAGAATGACTGCCTTCATAGTGTTAGAAACAACAATTCAACTGGAGAGCAACCCACGTAGGGCCCTCCTGTATCTGGAGTGATTTGCCTTAGCAGCAGAGTCTGTTACACTGGGCCTCATTTCATGGCTGCGCGAACCTCAGCAGTAACTTCCTCCTGCTTCCTATCGGCATGCAAAGTCGCAACCTTGCCCTTGGCAGCATAGTAGTCAATGACCTGCAAACGCCAACCAAACAAAATACAACAATTAGTCCTGAAAAATATCCACACACCTCTCCACTTCAAACAATGGCCTGTCGGGGAATTTAGAAAGCGTGAGTGGAGGATAGGGTGTGAGTGAACTTACTGGTGAGGTCTGCTTGTGAAATGCTGCCAATCGGCTGCGCAGGGTCTCTGCATTGTCGTCCTTCCGTTGCACCAGGGGCTCACCGGTGATCTGACAGTCAATGCAGGCATACGGGGAATCGGAGGAAGACGAAATTCAACAAAAAGGACTAACAGCGAGTGGAAGAGAGTGAAGGTGAGAGTGACTAAGTGGGTGACTGCTTGAGAGAGAGAGAGAGAGAGAGAGAGGGAGGAGGAGAGAGAGAGAGAGAGAGAGAGAGAGAGAGAGAGAGAGAGAGAGAGATGAGTGTACCCACACCGTCTCTTGTTTTCTCGCGGAACAAGCCGGCCTCAGGATTCATGCAGTAAAACCACTCACATCATCCTTTCCAGGAACCTTCGGAGGAGCGAACTTGGTGTGGTAGGAGCGTCCGCTGGCAGGGTGGATCCACCGGCCAGTAATCCTCTCCTCCAGGACGGCGTCAGGCACATCGAAGTTGAGCACCTTATCGATCTTCTGACCCTTCTTCTCCAGCATTGAGTCAAGCTGTTGGAAACATTATGGGACACGGGAGCGACGCTCGAAAGGGAGTCACACGCCAATGATTCTGCCCTTGAGGATTGAACCAGGAACCTTCAAGTTGAACCACATCATTTACCTTCTGACCCTTTCCCTCTAACACAGCGTCAAAACTGTCGTTGAATGCAAGCATGACAAAAAAGCGGTCATACGGTGTATTAAAATGTTATGGTCTATGTGACGTGATCCAATGGCGAACATGCGACACCGATGAGGCATAGTTTGGCGTCCCTTACCTTCTCTGCCTGGACGACCGTGCGAGGGAAACCGTCGAGGATGAAACCCTTGCTGCAGGACGGCCGATTGATCGCTTCCTCGATAATGCCCACCACCAGTTCGTCGGACACGAGCTCACCCTGGTTGGATACAGTCGGTACGTTGAGCTTGGTCAGAATGCATCACATGTGTTCGAGTGAAATGTTTAGAGCGGGGATACACTATGAGCGACGATCACAACTAGTGCGAAAGGGTGCATAGCGACGCGAACATTAATGCAGCACACCTTCTCCATGGTCTCTTTCGCCTTGATGCCCAAAGGCGTTTTCTGAGCGACGGCTGCTCTGAGCATATCGCCGGTGGCTAGATGGCACAGGCAGTTCTCCTCCTTGATGATGGGAGACTGTGTACCCTTGCCGCAACCGGGAGGACCTGGGAACAGGAAACTAAGAAAATCAGAAAGCAGAACCCACTATCGAAGCGATCTGTTGAAGAGGACGGCATGGACAGGATGATTTGCAAAGTTTAAATGTCCGCAAGGCATAAATACGAAAAAATAGATTTACCGATCAGAATAACTCGCTTCTCTGGCTTAGGAGCGCATTTCATTCGCCTCAACAGCTCGTACATGAGGTCCCTGTCGGAGTAATCTTCGAGGGCAGCCATGGCGAGAAGCTGGTCTGGGATTCGGATAAGCACCTGGGAAGGTGATCAGGCACGACTAGACGGAGACCCCAAAAAAGTACCACTGCGATCTGAATCCCACAAAATAGATTCTAGCACTGAATTCGAACAAGCTAGATAGCCAGATTTGGGGATGGAATAGATCAGAAACTCATCTCCCAGGACAAGTTTGTTTCAACGGACCAGGGGTCAGGGGGTCAGGGGCCGACACATTGGGATGGATCAAGGGCCGTTCGATAATACATTGGCTTCAAATCGGTCGGCCGAGAGGGACGGAATGCGCCAATAGGCAAATTTGCAATCCGCCTCAGCATAATCTATGGTGCCAGGCTGGAGAAATGTGGTCCCACGAACGCTTCATTTTTGAGCCTGTAATGGCTGCTTCGGAACTCACGTGTGCAAATCGACGTGGCACTTGGAACCAATCAAGGAAACAGCAGTACTGAACCTCGATACAGCGTATTCCCGATGTTTCGAGTACACGGCAACGAAGTATTTCTGCTCTTCCATACCAGAGTGCATGCCTACACGGCAACGAAGTATTTCTGCTCTTCCATACCAGAGTGCATGCCTTACACAACTCTGTTTCCATTTGTGTTCACTCCAGCTTCCCAACTTCCGAGAAGGGAATCCCGAGGCTGACCCAAAACCATGGCGTCCCTGGCCATGAACAGTATTATTCAGAATGGCGCCTTAGTAACGCCTAGGCTTGGTCATCAAGTGAGGTTTCTTAGTGCTTGCTCCGCGTCGTCAGCTACCGACTCAGTTAGAGCCAACGTGGGAGCTTCCGCATCTGCTCGAGCAGAGAACCTACAGACCTGCTTGCGTTGCGGAAATCCTTACAATCCGGATGACAACTCTCCCGTAGCTTGCAAATATCATGGCCATATGACAGGTTAGACACCTCTTTTCCTTCGAGTGTCTTTTCTTCTCCAGGTGCGCTAAGATCATATGCCACGTTAAGTGCTTTGATGTTAGGCATTTCTGAGATTCTTGGTCAAGGGGGGCGCTATCACAAGTGTCGTGGTCACATTTCTCGGCATGGTTACACCATCCTGCTTCTGTTACGATATTCGCAGTGACATATCCTTCCAGGCATCCTCTTCGTTCAGCTGTTCATCTCTTCCCGCCGTCCCTGCTTTGGTGCTCCGCTCTCTAACTAACACTTTCATGAGCAGGAGACAAAGGATTGTTCGCGTATGCACCGCCTCATCAAGGTGTAGATGGCGACTGGTCAGAAAAGAGCGGAGTTATAGTCTACGTGTGGAACGACAAGGAGGACCGACCAAATACAGGACACAAAAACTGGAAGAGGAGATGGACATGCTGTGGGGTGTATGATGAGATTGGTGCTCCCTGCAGATCTGGCTGGCATGTTTCCTATGACGATGGAGCAACCAGATTCTGAAGCTCAAGCAACTGCATTTCACGTTTACTCTCCCTGGATTTTCTTGTTTTCTGATGTTCCTCGTACAGGTATTTTGCAGGCGTAATCACCTTACTGCAGTAGTGTCAGTGAAAACGTTCATGGACAAAGCTGTGTTGTGGTGTCCTTGACAGATCAAGCTGATATGGATAGGTGGGACTGGAACGGAAACTGATGTTCAAATGTTGTCTGCATTACAGGTGGCAATGTGCAGTCAGTTTCGCAAGGAGCTATATCACTCCAGTGCTTTTCAGGCAAAACTCCACCTGAGTACATCGTGCATGAAACTCCAGCTTCTTCCACACGTATCAGCTGGTCCATGATCCATCCACTCATGGCTCAAGTGCACAACGTCACATTATGTCCACGCCCAAGCTCAAGATCCTACATGAGTGACGGCGACAATAAGTCGAAACTATCCACTGGGTCAATAAGAAGCTCCAAGCGGGCACTCATGCACTCCGCAAGGCGAAGCCGTGGAGGAGTGCGGAACAGGTTAAAGACTGGATTAGGTGTTGCAGTTGTCTGTGCACTCTCAACAGTTGACGGATTCATCAAGTTTCCCCGAGGCGTTGAGAAGTTGAATGTCCCCTCGTCCTTTCCTGAACCAGCTAGCACCCCTTCACCAATGGCAGCATTGCCACCAAAACCAGCTGCACCTCCAGCTGTATCATCTAGCCTGCTGCCGCTCACTAGCCCCTGCGTCCCAGCGCCAGGATGGTCATTCTGATCACCACCGCCGGCACGATCCTCATGGTTACCACCAACCAGCTCTTCTGGAAGACCACCACTCGCACCAGCGGCAGCAGCGGCGGCAGCACCACCTAGACTGTGCCTCGATTCACCGCTTGCCCGTGCCATGTCGACTCGCATCTGCATCATCTGCGCTTCCATGTCTTTGCTCAGCTCCATCCGCATTCTCTCCGTTTCCAGCAGCCGCTCCAGCTTGGCGCGCTCCACTTGCTCGTACACTGCAGCGAGTTGCCTAACTGCTAACGCCATACCCTTAAGCGAGGATGAGACTAAAGGAGAGGGTTTTTTCTTCATCGATGCAGGAGCAGCTCTGAGCACCCGGGTAACCCTTTGCCCTGTTTGTCTTGGCGGAAGCTGCTGCTGTTGCTGCTGCCGTGGCTCCTGTTGCTCCTGCTGATGATTATGATGAGTGTGCATGCGTTGTTGTTGCTGCTCGTGGTTCTGCTTCTCTTTCTGATGATGATGTTGCTGCTGCTGCTGCTGTAATTGCTGGCGCTGTTGCTGTTGGTCGTGCTGTAGATGATGCTGCTGCTGTTGTTGGTGTTGGTGTTGTTGTTGCTGCTGCTGCTGTTGGTGGTGTTGTTGTTGCTGCTGCTGATGGTGTGGTTGTTGTTGCTGCTGCTGCATGCCTACAGGTGGCATTGACCTCATCTTAACCTCACCAACGATCCCCACCTCTGCTGCCAGCGGCCACAGCGTCCGACCCCGCAAGACGGACGGGGAGGAACGACCAAAGCGCGGAACGACCCTCAGCGAGAAGCGAGGGACGAAATACGAAGGTACGCAGAATGGGCTGGGGAAAGGCGGACTAATGCCAATGATGCCGCCAGTGAGAGGAGTTACCTCTTATTGACACTCCGAAAATGTCTTAGTAACACCGAACTCGGCTCTTAGTGTTGGACTGTGATAACCCGAGAATTAGGGCGTGATGGGCGGCAATTGAAGAGCTGCGGCGAATTTTGAGGCTCCTAAAAAACCGACTAGGGCGCGATGGGCCGGAATTGAACAGCTGCGGCGTTGGTCCCGGTGGGCGCAACGCAAGCCTCCTCCTCAATCGCAGTGACAGTTAACCTGCGGCTTGCTCCCTCCGCAAAGCACAATACCTTATCCAGTAACCTTCAAAGTGGAAAACCGCAGGGTCGCTGCGATCCGACAATTCGAGCTGTGGATCCGAATTGGGTCGGACGATCAGATAGAATAGGATCGAAGACGGCGTGTCAGGAGGAGGCTAGTGATGGTAGGGAGAGGCATTTGCGCGAGGTGAAGCTTCGGGGTGTGCATGCAAGTCCGTATCATGTGCGCATGTCAAGTTCGATAAGCAATTTGGTGTAAGAAAAGATATACACGCATATATGTTATTATATAAGCAAATCAAATAGCAGAAATCACAGAAAAACGAGTCCAGTCCAGTCCTCATCCCCCCACACCCTCCCAGTTACATTTATTGACACCCCCCTTTCACGAGCAGCTTTGCTGCACGTGGTCTTAGCACGCGTCTTTCTTGCCTCCTCGAAACGGCTTGGGCGGCTTGGCCTCTTGTGTTGTGCTGTTGCTGCTCACAACGGCTTATCTTGAACCCTCATCCGCCGTTCCCGACCCTCAAACCCATTCTGCTTCTCCGTGTGCCCTCGTGCAGAAATCATGTTGTCACAGCATGTTTGATTCGCTCTTCCAGAAGTCCAACTGCTGCAGTGCTGTTGCCGATGCTTCCACGTCCGCGTTTCTCCGCTCTTGTATTCCTGTGCTTGAACAACCACCGGATTGCCGGGAACTCAAGCCTGTACATGGCTTCAAAGATCAGGCCAGGTTGGTTTTCTGCTTCTGCTTTCCTTCATTTGAGTTCCTGCACTTCCGCACCATCGTATCATCATCAGGTTGCTGGGAACTCGAGCCTGTACATGGCTTCAACGATCAGGTCAGGTTAGTCGTGTCAATCCTCATCAGGGCTCTGCACCCTATGCACCCTCTGCACCCTCCGCACCCTCCGCACCCTCTGCACCCTCCGCACCCTTCGCACCCTCTGCACCCTCCGCACCCTTCGCACCCTCTGCACCCCTCTGCACCCTCTACACGCAGCACTCACGCGGTGTCCCTTTCAGCCTCAGCCAGAGTCCTGTTCACCACCAACCGCTTCTGTACGTGCCGCCATGATGTAGCTCTCAGACGCCTCAAATATTTTCCGCACCCAAGACAGACGCCCTTGTCCCTCTTTGCTCCATCCCTGCCTTTCCTGCTGCTGGCTGGTAAACTGTGTTGTTAGACGGTATCACTGCATGACTACCTGTAGGGCCACTATCAAACCAAGTTCGAACCAGGAATGACCAGTAGGCTCCTCGTCTCTACATGTCGATGCCAATGTCATGCTGATATGGTACAGTCTTGAAGCACCTCAAAACCGTCCTTCGAGTCACCGCTCGAATGCTGATATGGTACAGCTCCATGCTCGAAGCGCCTCAGAACTGTCCATTGAGCCCCCCCAGAAATTTATCTGTAGGGCCATTGCGATCCAATGAGCTCTATGGGCTCCTCCCCTCGGAACGCCGATTGGAGTAACACGCTGATAGGATGAAGCTCTCCACTCGAAGTGCCTCACAGCTGTCCCTTGTGGCGGCGCCAAAGAAATCTACCTGTAGGGCCACTGCGAACCGATGAGCTCTATGGGCTCTTCTCCTCGAAACGCTGACGTGGAGTACCATGCTGATATGATGCAGCTCTCCCTTATCTCCCGTGCCTCCTCTGGCGTCTGTGCAGTGACAAGAGAGAGCGCAGGGGAAGCACAGCAAGGTGAGAGAAAATGAGTCCGAACTGTCTTTCTCTGTGCACGAGAGGAACACCGATGATATGATGCAGCTCTCCCTTATCTCCCCACGCACCTCCTCTGGCGTCTGTGCAGTGGCCACGGGGAGGCAGGAAGCGTTTACGGGGTGTCAGAGGGAACAAGCAAGGCATAATCTGGTGAGAGAAGGAACATGTTGCAAGGAAGCCCGGCTGGGCATGGTCCATCCCCAACCCACAGGCGTAATGACTTTACTGACGTGGACTGACTGGATTGACTCGTGTTGACTTGCATTGACAGTAGATGACCTCAAAACGACTCTCACCTCACACCGCTGCTGCAGGGAGGCAGGGCTGGGCATGGTCCATCCCCACAGGCGCTCCCCGATCTTGAGAGCCCGCTGCAGTTGGTCCGGGGTCATACCCACTGGTGTGGGCGTGGTTTGAGGGACAAAGGACAGAGAGAAGGTGAGTGGTTGGGATCTTGAATAACAACACCTTCCCATCCCCACAGGCGCGCCCCAATCTTGAGAGCCCGCTGCAGTTGCTGCTCTGGGGTCATACCCATTGGTGAAGGTGTGGGTGGGTGTGGGTGTATACTCGAGATACTTAGTGCAACGTTCAGAAACACCTTCCCATCCCCACACCTTTCCAACGTGCAAAGTGACCGCTGCAGTTGCTTGGGGGCACCCAGGTGTGGGCGTGGAAGGATGAACAAGGGGCAAAAAGGTACGTGTCTAAGATACTGAATGCAACAATGATTACCACCTTCCCATCCTTCCACCCTCACTCCCCACCATTCCCATACACCAGCAGCACAAGCGGTCTCACTCACCTGTGCCATGCGCCAGGGTGAGCACTTGAGCCACGAATCTCGGCGCATCCCTCCTTCTGGGCCAGCGCCAGTAGATTGTGCAAGCCACACGCGCAGCAATGGCCAGTAACACGTCGACACGTGTCGCATCCGACAGCCGCGCCACCCCACAAGAACCAGCAACAGCCGAGTTCTCCCATCGTGCAGCAGACTTCTCGAACCTTGCTGCAGAATCCCATTGTGCGGCAGAGTCGATGACTTTCAGGAGGGATGCAGCAGCCTCGGGGCCTCCTGGGAGGGTGACCAGGAGGGACTCGAGCGACCAGTCAAAGAGCTCGAGTGCGTCAACGTCTGTGCCCGTCCCCTCCTCGTTCACAGCCTGAGGGAAGGAAACGGGGATAAGAGGGGATTAGCGAGGTTGCAGCAGCCTCAGGGCCCCCTGGGAGAGTCACGAGGAGGGACTCGAGCGACCAGTCAAAGAGCTCGAGAGCATCCACGTCTGTGCCCGTTCCCTCCTCGTTCACACCCTGGGGGAATGGAAACGGGGAGCAGAGAGGATCGGTTGGAACGGGGATGTGGGGGTGTTAAGGATCGCCTGCAAACACAGGGGGGGCAGCACAGCGTGGAAGGGTCTCTTGCTCTCCAGCTCTTACCACAAACAAGTGACTTTTGAGTCGACTCAAAAGTCACGAGGTGACTTCTGAGGTGACTTTTGATGTGACTTTTGAGTCGACTCAAAAGTCACGGTGTGGAAGGGGCTCCTGCTCTCAGGCTCTCACCACTAGCAGCAACACAGCACATGCAGACAGCACTTACCATACAGCATACAGACAGCAGGCAGCACAGGATGGGTTGGATTGCGGCGCTCCAGCATGCGACCTATGGCCTCCACGCCAGCGACCCCGTGCCCCCCGGTGCCTTGTCCAGATGCACCAGCAACGCCGCCACACACAGTACTCACTCACTCATCAGGTGTGTGTTCAGCACTGCCTTCACAACCAGCCATCGCTTTGCCAAGCAAGCACTAGCTTCACAAGAGCTACTACCTGCACCTGCACTATCAGATGTGCTTCTCACCAGGTGTGTATTCAGCACGGCTCGCACCCACCACGGGCGGTAACACAGGATGGGTGGGGTTCCTGCGCTCCAGCATGCGACCTATGGCCTTCCATGCCAGCGACCCCGTGCCCCCCGGTGCCTTGTCCAGATGCACCAGCAGCGCCGCCATCGCCGCATCCCTCTCCTCCCTCTCCCGCCTCTCCTGCGCCTCCTGCTGTGCGACAGTGCTGCTGCTTTCCTCCCCTCCCCTCCCTCCCAATAACGCCGCCTCCACTGAATGACCTCCCGGCAAACCAACAGCCGGATCGGCAGCAGCAGCAGCACCACTATCAGCAGCTTCAGCCGCAGCAGAGGAACCAGTCAAACCAGCATCAAGCGCAGCAGCCGAACCAGTCAAACCAGCCCCTTCAGGCGTCCCAGCAGCATCAGTCGACCCAGGCGAAGAAACCCCCGCAGCAGCCGCCACCCGCGCCTCTTCTCTCTCCCTCGCCACCTCCGCTACGAGGCACCTGAGAATGATACACGCGCACACGTCCGTGTGCCGCTCGTGCTGCTGCCGCACGCCCTCTGAGTCCAGCGACAGGTGCCGGCTCAGCCGCAGGTACGCCTCTGCTAAGTCCCGCACCCACGGGATTATGGGCGCTGCTTCGGCGTCCGGGATTACGGGGATGATGCTGGGGAGGCGGGCGGCTGGTTTGGGGGGTCTAGTGGTTGCCGGAGGTGTTGAGGGATGTGGGTCGGTGCTGTAGGGCGTGTTGGTGGTGGTGGTAATGGTGGTGGTAATGGTGGTGGTGGTGGTGGTGTGGCATGAGTGTGAGCTTTGCTCTGCATCAACCACAGCCACTGCTGCTGCAGCAGCTGCTGCTGGTGATGCTGGTGAACCGGCAGTGAGACCATTAGGAAGAGACACGCAGGCGGGCAGGGCGGCAGGGCAGGAGAGAGGCGGAGGCGAAAACATCTCCGTCCCGGCCCTCTCCCCGTTCCCCGCCCTCCCTCCACTCAAACTCCTCGGCGGAGGCTTAGGCGCAGGCTCGGGCCAAGCCTCCGGAAGAGCCTCGGAAGCACCTGCAGCAGCTCTTCCATTAGAGCATCACAGAACCTCCTCACATACGCCGATCGCGACGCCTCGGTCGGCGCATGGGTTAGCGCCGTCTCCGCCACCCCCACCACTCTCTGAATCCTCCGCCTCACCGGCTCCACCCCTCTCGACCGCACTGTCCTCCTTATAACCTCTTTGCAATCCGCCTCAGTAGCATATACACTCCCCAGCACCCGCACCCGCGCCCGATACCCCGCCTCCTCACACCCCATCTCCTCTAAAAACTCAGCCACCTCCGCCACGTCATCAGGCCACAGGCTCGGCAGCGACTGCATGGCGAGGGCAACAGCTAGGGCGAGAATACCTGGCCCTAGATGCAACCCCCCCTGGATGGTGCCGTGGGTCAGATACAGCCTGTCCAGATGAGCGCATTCAATGGGGTTCATCCCGTTGGTTGCTACAGTGGATTCTACTAGTAGTACCTCTGCTAGCTCTCCCAGCCTGTAGGGCGCTCCTGCCTCAGATACGACCTGTTCAGATACAACCTGCTCAGATACCACCTGTTCAGGAACCACCCGATTGGATACCACCTGGTCAGAAGCGCCCTGTGCTGTTGGCGCAGGCGTCGCAGTGACAGGAGTGAGAGGGAGGTTGAAGCACGGCTGCTGGGGGCGGAACGCGTGGTGAGCGTGCAGCTGAAGCAGATCCAGCAGGCACGAGACTATGAAGTGCCTGCATGCCTTGTCCACAGCGTACCTCCCCATCTCCTCCTCCACGTTTACTAGCTCCCGCCTCCCCCCGCCAAACCTCTCGTCCCCGAGCCTGTCGTCCCCGAACCTGTTTCTGTTCCGGGTACTGTTGCTGCGGTCGTTGGCAGGGGTTTCCGGTTCGGTTGGTGCATCTTCCACTCCTGCACTCGCTTCCCTCTTCTCTCGGCCACGTTCCTGGTTTTCGGCTTCTGTTGAAGCACGGTGATTGGACTCGTCATTGTGAATACCCTCCCTAACCCATCGGAACGCAACACACACTCCCCTTCCTGCCGCAGCCCACCTCCCGCTCGAAACCCCCCATCTGCCCCTCTCGCCTCTGCCCCTTCCTCTACCTCCTCACCCTCCTCCCCCACAGCGCCTTCCTCCTCTTCCTCTCCCTCCCCGTCATCCTCACTCGCCAAGTCACTCACATCACTCCCTTCCTCCACGCGCACAAAAGGCCGAGTCTGGCCAACCATATCCAGCACCCTTAGAATACACAGCGCCATGCTGACAGGCTGGCGGTCGGCCAACGACCCCGCAAGCCCCAGCATTCTCGCCACGTCAGCATAGCTCGGCGGCACATCCGTTTCAGTCCCATCCAGTAGAAGCACATCTTGGACTAATTTCTGCTGCAGCCCGTTTCTAGTGGTAGATCTCCACCGCCTCCTACCATGCCCAACCGCACTCGCATTGCTCCGCAAGCTCCTGCCCGAAACCGACCCGTCCTCGCTCGGGCGGGACGAGAGCGTCAAGCTGCCCGAAAAACTCCGGAGCATGCTGCCCGCCACGCTGGTCACGTCAACCGTGGGCAGCAGACTGACCGCGCTCAGGCTACTCGTACTGCTGCTGTCAACGGTTGAAGCAGCGGATCGGGAGCGGTTGCGAGGGGGCCGAAGCGAGGAGGAAGGGGATGGCATGGTGTTGAAACTGCTACTGCCCATGCCAGTCAGAGGAGACATACCAGTCATGCTGCTGAATGCTGGTGTGGTTGCTGCCGCTGCTGGCGCTGCTGGTGCAGCGGTGAGAAAGCTGTCAGCACCAAAGCCTACAGGGAACCAGCTTGAAGAGGCCTCTCCTGCACCACCCTCCCCTCCTTGCGTCGCGGAAGAAGCTTCCTTGCTGCTTCGCCTCCTGCCTTCTTTCAAACTGCGAGACCGCTGAGTCGACCGGCGCTGTGGCGGGACTGAAACGCTCGAGGTGGCATTTGTGGTGCCAGCAGCAGCAGCAGCAGCAGCACCGGCAACAGCAGGAGTAGTAGTAGCAGAAGCAGCAGTGCCACCACCAGCACCCGCAGCAGCCGCAACAGCAGGAGTGGTAGCAGAAGAGCCACCTCCTGAAACAGAAGAAACAGCTGCAGAAGCACCTGAAGCAACAGAAACACCTGAAGCACCTGAAACAGCAGAGACACCCGATGCCCGTCGCTTATGGCTGAGAAACCCCCTGGCCTGCACGGCCTCCTCTCTCTCCTCCCACGCCCGCCCTGCCGCCCGGCACAGGTCCTGCCACTGCTCGTACTCCCTCTCCCTCAGACTCGCCCTGAACCAACCCCCGGCGGCGGCTGGGGGGGGCGCTGAGGACGGGGGAACTGGGGAGGGGGGAACTGGGGAGGGGGGAACTGGGGAGGGGGGAACTGGGGAGGGTGGGACTGGGGAGGGTGGGACTGGGGAGGGTGGGACTGGGGAGGGTGGGACTGGGGAAGGGGGAACTGGGGAAACGGGAACTGCTGCTGTCACAGGGATGGCTGGTGGAGGAAGGGATGGGGACGCTGGAGCTTCTGCTGCTGCTGCTGCTGCTGCTGCTGCTGCTGCTGCTGCTGTTGCTTTCTCTTCTGATGCTGCTGCTGCTCCGGTGTTCCCTTCTCCCAGAATGACGTGCTTGGACCCTACGGCACCTGACGTCGCACCTGAAAAATCCACGCCATCAGGAGGAGCCTCAGGTGCATCAGTTGCCTCAGGTGCTTCAGGTGCTACTTCAGGTGCGTCAGGTGCTTCAGGTGCAGCTTCAGGTGCTTCAACAATGTGGTCTGCCACAATAACGCTCCCACCTTCCTGCTCCGCTTTCTCCTCTTCAGCCCCCCTCACCCCTTCCTCCCTCTCTCCCTCCTTCTGACCCCTCTCCTTCTCGCCCCTCTCCCTCTTTCCCTTCTCCTTCCCCTCTCCGCATTCCCCCTCACCTTCCCCTACCGCCAAAACAATGCTCACTTGCTTCCGCTCCTTGGGGAGACCGCCTCCCGCGTGCGCGGACCGCGTAAGCGCCATCACAGGCATTGGCGCAGCGCCTGCCCCCGCGCCCGCGCCCCCGCCCCATTTCCCCCTAACCGGCGCAACCTCTCCGCCGCGCCACAGCATCGTGCGCGGAGATTCCAGGGTTCTCCGCCGCCCCCTGGGCGCTTCTAGCGACGCGCTCGGGTCTTCCCCCCACTGCTCCCAAAACTCCATCCAAAACGCCATTCCCACCAGCAGCGCCTCTTCCATTCGCTCCACGTTTACATAAACACCGCTTTCCACCGCCTCTCCGCTCTCCGTCCGCGTAGCATTGCGCCCCTCCGCCGTTGCGGCAGTGCCGCCCGCGCCGCCGGCATACTCCCCCCTGCCATACACCCCGTCTCCGCCAGGACTGCGCAGGCTGCCAAAATAGCCTCCGCGGGCTCCGCCTCCCCCTCCGCCTCCGCTCCCGCTTCTCTCCCCAAGCTCCGCGCCATCCCCCCCGCCGAGCTCCGCGCCGAGCTCCGCCGCCTCCTCTATCCGCTCCACCAGGCGCTGATACTCCGCTTCCGCGCGCGCCTGTACGTCCAGAAGCCCCGCCGGATGACGTCATCCGCCCCGCCCAGGGGGAGCAGCAGCGAGCGTGAGCGCGGAGTCAGCGGCTGCGGCTGCACGAGCGGAAAGTACGGCGGGGGGAGCGCGCGCGTGCGCGGGGAAGGGGAGGAGACGAAGGAGGAAGAGGCGGAAGACGCGGAGGAGGAAGAGGAGGAGGCGGAAGAAACGGGGGCAGAAGCCTGCGCCAAGCGGGGTGAATAGGCGGAAAACTCCGATGACGGGGAGAGAGACGGGGAGGAAAGGCGGTCGAGGAAAATGGATAGAAGCCCCGGGAGCGCGTCTCCCGGCGGAAGTTGCGCCATGATTTGGCGCGCGCGGATAAGGCCGCCATTGGCGGGCGTGTAGGGGCCGAAGTGGTGGGGGTTGTTGGAGAAAAGATCTGAGGGGGAAAGACAGATAGGCCAAAGCTGCGGCTGCGGCTCCTCGTGTATTGGTTGCGCGGACAGTGCTTGACCCATGGTGGCACCAATGCGCAGTAAGGAGGAGGGTTATAACGAGTACGGACGTAAAACGGGCGCGGGGAAACGTTTCAGCCTGGCGAAGTTTTTATTCTAATGGAAACAGGGGCTTTTTTCTAGCGAAGGGATTAGAGAGCGAGAGCTGGTAATAGTTGTCAAAAAGACGGGATTAGAGAAGCGGAAGCCACGGCGGCGACAGTCCGCTCAAAACAGCCAGGCATTAGTTTTGAAAAGGAACGAGTCGCAGCGGGTATTATGTCGCATTGTGTCGCGGCGAGGGCTCAAGAAAGGAAGTTTCGGCGAGCTCATAGCGAGTCGCGCTGCGACACTCGAGAGTTTATGGGAACGCAGCCGCACGGTAATGACGGATGGAAGCAGAGATAAGACAACCCAAGCCAAGAAGGGTGACCGCGGGTGAGGGGAGCAAATGGGTTGGATTGGAGCTTGCTGGAGGAAAAGCCTAGGTGGGGCACTTGCTCGACTAAAGGGGCTGGGTGGGTGGGTGGGTGGTGGTGGGTATGATACAGTAGCACAGAAGATAACTTGATTGGTTCAATTGGGTTGCTTACTGGCTGCTTGCTCGCAACGCAACGCAAGATTGGTGCTGCTGCTTGGTGCTCCACTTCAGATGAGCAAAATCCTGGGTGAGTAACCCTCTGCACCACTGCGGTTAGTGCAGGTTCCTTTTCTGCATTGCACTGGAAACCACGCCACCGTTATCAACCGTATGGAACTGCATCGCTGCGCTTCTTGGAGCTTTGCTTGGATCTCCTCTCTTCACTGCTCTGTCCTTCGAAGCGAGCTTCTTGTTCGAGTCAGATCAGGTGGGATGTACAAGGATTCCTCCTGGCGACTAGCGCAGCAACGAGCTAGCGGGGAATACGGTAATAAAAAGGGAAGTTTGGTAAAAGAAAGGTCCAAACTTCCCAATAACTTTTTTTGGAGAACTATTATTTTGGACCACTGCTCGTTTCTGCTCGGGATTTCCGGTCGGATTCCTTCCAGGAAACAATCGTTTGGCACAAGTTTTCTGTTCTTTTGGCATTGTTGAGAACCGGGTGTGCAACGAAACTGGACTCCTGATGTGATTGGCACCCTGCAGAATGCACTCTTCCACGGTTGCGACTTCCACATGGGGATTCTTGCCCAAACTGCTCTTATCCGATTGGGTCCTTTGAATGCGGATCAGGAAGGAACCCGTACGATATACCCAGATTTACACGATGTACCAGCAAAATCTGTGAAACACACAAACGCACTATCTGTACAATGCACCCGCAATGAAAAATAAAAATATCATGAAAATGTTCCTGCGTGGTGTGCGTTGTTGCAGCCTGCAACAGTTTCTCCTTGGGAAGCATGCCAGACTCGGGCAGACGCAAACATGTTTTGATTCCCCAACAGGAAAGCAAAAGTGCTGTTTCAACTGCAAAACCACGTCAAACATTCGCACGTCAGCCATTATTAGACACACTGAACATCAGCATGGCAGCCAGTCAAGTCACGTGTACAGCTTTGGTCAACAGAGAAGCAGTCCCCGTTCTCTCTGTACAAAACCCCCACGAGATTTGTGTTGCTTCACATGTGTAAGATACATGTAATCAAATATTAATGACATTCAAGTAAGACAGGGCGGCGGGTGAAGAAACAAATATACAAGGAAACACACAATGTTAAATTTCTTCTAAAATATTTCATTATTGATAATGACTGATAAATAGGTTAGTGCGGATGTTTATATTTATCTGAGTATAGGTTATACGTATAGATAGACTAAAGCTTCGTAGTGGCGAATTTCGTTTGGCAGAATTCAAAGATAACGAGGATGAAACACCTCGTGCTTCACACCACGAATCCTCGTAACCCGTCTATGACGAAAACTCCACCGGCTCTATCGACCGCATTCTGACCGCACGATCGCTCCACTGTCGTGAATCTGACGGTGAGCGAAGTCTACATTCACTCACACACCACGGCACCCCTACCATATTGCCACGTCACCCTGAGGAACCATCCTAGAAGTAGTTAAACGGTCAGTCCTCAGGGATTGGTCCTCAGTCCTAGAGGTAGCTAATCGTCCTCGATGATAACTACTACTGTAGTGTGATCCTATCTTAGTGGTCCCAACACTAGGTTATGCCAGGTGACCTAGCGTGAGCTCGACTTCTTTTTTGCTGCAGGAGTCGCGTGAAGGTCGTTCGCTCTTGTGCCTGAAGGTTCACCCGGCATGACGTAGGAACTCCGCCCCCCGGCCAACCCGTCTGTGACTTCGACTCGTACGGGTGTTAAAGTGTTTTAACCTTATTATATGAACGTATTGACAATGAGCCAACGACAAGTCCGCGTTGTTTAAAGCGAGGATGACGTTGACCCAGAATCTGCTAATTATCATCGCGACGTTTCGTCGTCAATCTGTAGCCGTACGATCTAGAGAAAGTAGACACATCTGACGGACAGGCATGGCGAAGGTGTACCAGGCCTGGAAAGGCGACAACGTGAGTCGCATTTCATTATACGCTGAGTTCGAGGATCCTTATAACGCGCACTTCGTGGTATCTGTCGCACTTGGTGGTTCTCGTGGCATCGCATTCCGTCGCGTTCCGTCTCATTACGTCGCAATTTGTCGCGTTTTCGCACGAGGAGATTGTTAGGGAGTCGACTGAACAGTCACCTTCTTCCTCGTCTCTCCCCTCGTCTCCCACCAACTCCCCACCATCACCTCAAAAGCCTCAAACTCCCCCCCCCAACTTCCCCTCTTCCAACCCGTCCAAACCCCCTCGTATCTTTCTCTCACTCTCTCTCTCTCTCTCTCTCTCTCTCTCTCTCTCTCTCTCTCTCTCTCTCTCTCTCTCTCTCTCTCTCTCTCTCTCTCTCTCTCTCTCTCTCTCTCTCTCTCTCTCTCTCTCTCTCTCTCTCTCTCTCTCTCTCTCTCTCTCTCTCTCTCTCTCTCTCTCTCTCTCTCTCTCTCTCTCTCTCCCCATTTCCCCTCTCCGTCTTCTCCACTCTCCTCCCTCCCCCCCGTTCCCCAGGTGTTTTTGTGCTACGGTCGGTACATATTCGGTCCCGATTTCCGCTCGCTGGTGCTCTCGTTCCTGCTCATCCTTATACCGGGGATACTCTTCTGCGTCTTCGTCGCTGCGCAACTTCCTGGGAAGATTCCCGGAGGCATCGTCGTGCTTCCCGTCGCGATCTGCTACATCGCATGGGTGGGTGGGTTGAGTCGCATGGGTGGGTTGAGTCGCATGGGTGGGTGGGTTGAGTCGCATGATTGGTGGGTCGTAATTGGGAGTCGCATGGGTGGATGGCTCCTCCCCTCCCTTCCAGAACCGATTCATCCTGGTGTTCACAGCGTGCAGGGACCCAGGCATAGTCCCCCGCAACCTCGTCCCTACTGGCCTTGATCCAGACATGCACCCCTTTGCACCCTGTGTTTCCCCTGCCAGAACCGATTCATCCTGGTGTTCACAGCGTGCAGGGACCCGGACATAGTCCTTTGCAACCTCGTCCCGCCTGACCCAGACATGCCAGAACCCTCCCCCCCCTCCCTGCCAGAACCGATTCATCCTGGTCTTCACAGCGTGCAGAGACCTGAGGTGACTTTTGAGTCGGCTCAAAAGGAGACTTTTGAGTCGACTCAAAAGTCAATTCATCCTGGTCTTCACAGCGTGCAGAGACCCGAGTATCGTCCCTCGCAACCTCTTACCCCCACACCCTGACCCCAACATGCACCCTTGCCTCCCCACCACCCCCCCACACCATGCAGAACCTATTCATACTCTTGTTCACAGCGTGCAGGGACCCGGGTATCATGCCTCGCAACCTCGTCCCGCCAAACCCTGACCCGCAACCGCACTTATCTGCACCCCTTTGCACCCCTTTGTACCCCCTCCAGAACCTGTTTATCCTGGTGTTCACAGCGTGCAGGGACCCGGGCATAGTCCCACGCAACCTCGTCCCGCCTGACCCGGACATGCTAGAAGCCATGCGCCTGGAAGGAGGAAAGGGGGAGAGAAAGTACCAGACAGGTGCAGGTCAGCCGTCCCTGGTTCACGTTTCCTTTGCACCCCTCTGCATCCCTTCGTACTCCACCCACACCCGCCCCCCAGAATCTCTTTATCCTGGTCTTCACAGCATGTCGAGACCCCGGCATAGTCCCGCTCGCGCAACCTCGTCCCACCTGACCCCGAGCCGGACGTTCTAGAAGCCATGCGCCTCTACACCCCTCTGCACCCCACTGCACCCCCCCCACACCATACAGAACCTGTTCATTCTCGTCTTCACGGCATGTAGAGATCCCGGTATCGTGCCTCGCAACCTCGTCCCCCCAGACCCTGACCCCAACATGCACCCCTTTGCACCCCTTTGTATCCCTTCCAGAACCTGTTCATCCTGGTGTTTACAGCATGCAGAGACCCAGGTATAGTCCCGCGCAACCTCGTCCCTCCAGACCCTGACCCGGACATGCTAGAAGCCATGCGCCTGGAGGGAGGGGGGCTTGCCATGGGGGGACGGTTCAGCCTGCCAAGAACTAAAGACGTGGAGATTAACGGGTTCAGAGTGAAGGTTAAATACTGCGACACATGCCTGCTGTACAGGTGCGAGTGAGCAGGGAGGGAGGGGGAAGACAGGGTGGGGGATGGGGGTCTGGTCCCCCCACACCCTGATCCGGACATGCTAGAAGCCATGCGCCTGGAGGGTGGAGGCGAGAGAGGGTTACTGGGGGAAAGGGGGTTATGGGGGAAGCAGGGTCAGCCTGGTCCCCCCACACCCTGATCCGGACATGCTAGAAGCCATGCGCCTGGAAGGAGGGGGGCTTGCCATGGGGAGAAGGTTCAGCCTGCCTAGGACCAAAGACGTGGAGATTAACGGGTTCAGGGTGAAAGTGAAATACTGCGACACATGCCTGCTGTACAGGTGGGAGGGATGCTGGGTGTGTGTGGGTGTGGATAGGTGGTGTGCCGCAGGGGTGGGGCAAGAATTTCAGCCTGCCCGTTTCGGTCTTCCCAGGACCAAGGACGTGGAGATTAACAGGTTCTGGGTGAAGGTTAAATACTGCGACACATGCCTGCTGTACAGGTGCGTGTAAGAAGGGAGATCAACCAAGGACGTGGAGACCAATGGGGGTGGGTGTGTGTGGGTTGGACAGAAAGGGAGATGTGTGCTAAAACACCCCCCTCCCCACCCCCCTGCTCCTACTGCAGCGTGTGGAAAAGCTGTGTGCTGCTTCTAGACAGGATTGCTTCTAAATTTTTGATGTCCTGTCTGCTTCACCACCCGCCCTCTAATTTCTATTACCCCTTCTCTCCCCTCTTTTCTCTCCCTCCAGACCCCGCCGCTTCTCGCATTGCAGTGTGTGCAACAACTGTGTGGAGCGATTTGACCATCACTGCTGTTGATGCGTGGGGGTTAGAGGCCTCCAATACTCAACATGTCTCCAGTTGTGCTTGCTCCCTTTCCCTCTTATCCCCTTTCCTGTCATCCCCCTCCTGCCCTCCAGACCCCCCCGCTGCTCGCACTGCAGTGTGTGCAACAACTGTGTGGAGCGATTCGATCACCACATTACCGCCCCGCTCTCCCCAGTCTCCTCATCTCTCCCCTCCCCGCCTCCTTCCCTCTTTCTCCATGCACCAGACCTCCTCGCTGCTCCCACTGCAGTGTGTGCAACAACTGTGTGGAGCGATTCGACCACCACTGCCCGTGGGTGGGGCAGTGCATTGGCAAGGTGAGATAGGTGGGGAGTGCATATGCAAGATTAGGAGGGGGGGAGACGATCGTTGAGGCACTCAATAGGGCTTTTCAACAACAACTGTGTCGAACGGTTCGATCACCACTGCCCGTGGGTGGGGCAGTGCATAGGCAAGGTGAGGGGGAGAGAGAGAGAGGGGCAATGGGAAGGAAGATGGGCAGTGCATAGGCAAGGTGAGAGCGAGAAAGATGGGCAGTGTAGAGGCAAGGTGATTAAGTGAGCAAAACATTTGTGCCTGCGCCATTCCCCTCTCTTCTCTGTCTTCTCTCCACGTTTTTTTGCGACTACCGCTTCGTCTTCACGTTCACCTCTGTGACATTTGGTACTCTGCCTTCTCTTTCCCTGTCAACTGAAACCCCATGATGAGACGATTTTTTTAGTAGACCAAAGAAATCCTCTGTCCCTGCTCTTCGCCCACTCCTCGCCACCTCCCTCTTCCCCCCACCATCAGCGCAATTACCGCTTCTTCTACATGTTCACCACCACAACAACCCTCCTCTGCTTCCTCTTTTCCTGCTCCTCTCCCAACCTCCTGCCCCCACAGTCTATTTCACCTTGTTCCTTCATTCTCCCTTCCCTCACTCCTCTTTCCCTGCTCCCTTCCCTTTCTCCTCCTCACCAGCGCAATTACCGGTTCTTCTACATGTTCACCACCACAACAACCCTCCTCTGCCTCTTCGTCTTTGCCGCTCCCTCTTTACCCCATTTCCCCTCTCCCTCCTGCCCCCCTTCCCTCCCACCAGCGCAACTATCGGTTCTTCTACATGTTCACCACCACAACGACCCTCCTCTGCCTGTTTGTGTTCGACATCAGTGCTCTCCTCACCGCCTTACCCCATTCCCCCTCTCCATCTCCCCCCCCCCACCAGCGCAACTACAGGTTCTTCTACATGTTCACCACCACAACGACCCTCCTCTGCCTCTTCGTATTCGCCATCAGCGCTCTCCTCCTCGCCTTACTCCTATGAGCCAGGAGGCCAGCCCAGGATGCTATGGGAGGCCATGGCCCATGGGGGGGAAGGCCCTCTGCTCCCTCACTGGCCGTTTTCCCTTATTCTTCATTCTCGCTTCCCTCACCCCTCTTTGCCTGCTCCCTTCCCTTTCTCCTCCCGCCAGCGCAACTACCGGTTCTTCTACATGTTCACGACCACAACGACCCTTCTCTGCCTCTTCGTATTCGCCATCAGTGCACTTCTCCTCGCCCTCCTCGTCAATAACTCTTATGAGCCGGGAGGGCAGCCCAGGACGCTCTGGGAGGCCATGGGGAAAGCGCCTGTCGCGGTGATTCTCATGGCGTACACGTTTATAGTCGTGTGGTTCGTCGGAGGGTTGACAGCCTTCCACACATTTCTCATGGCAACGAATCAGGTATGCCGTGAGTGTCTTGCCTGCGTAGACGCCTACGAGCCGGGAGGCCAGCCCAAGACGGACGCTGTGGGAGGCAATGGGGAAGGCTCCTGTCGCGGTGATTCTCACGTCATACACGTTCATAGTCGTGTGGTTTGTTGGAGGGTTGACGGCCTTCCACATATTTCTCATAGCAACGAACCAGGTAGGGCTTGAGTGCCTTGGCTGCACATATGCTTATGCAGGGAGGGCAGGGATGCCAGCCCAGGACGGACGCTGTGTGAGGCCATGGGGAAGGCGCCTGTTGCAGTATTTCTTATGGCATACACGTTCATAGTCGTGTGGTTTGTGGGGGACCTTACCGCATTCCACACCATCAGACCACGTACGAGAATTTCCGCATGCGCTACAAGAGGAAGACTTTTGAGAACTTGCATAGCTCACCAACTACCCGCCATACCCCCCCCCCCTCCCCCTCCCTCCAGACCACGTACGAGAACTTCCGCATGCGCTACAAGAGGAAAAACAACCCATACGACATCGGAATTCAGCGCAACTTCCAGGAAATTCTCTGCAGCCCGATCTCTTCGTCCCAAATCGACTTCCAGGCAGAAGCGCCAGTCAAACCCCCTGCCCCTGGTGGTGTTTCTGGTGCCACTGGTGTTGCTGCCTTAGGGGCTGGTGCTGCCTCTGCTACTGTTACACCGGTTACCACCACAGACACTATCGGGACCTCTGCCAGTACTGCTGCTGCTGGTGCTGCTGCTGCTGGTGGTGCTGGTGGTGGTAATGCTGCAGTTACTTCTGTTGCTACTGCTGGTGCTGGTAGTGCTGCTGCTGTTGGTGGTGGGACAGCTCGCAGTGGGTCTATTCGCAGGGATGTGATAGCGAGGGACGACGTGGGTAGCTCCTCATCCGCGTTTGAAGCAGCTTATGCCGCCCTGCTGGCCCAGTATGCCCTGCATGGGGAGGGGGAGGAGGTGGTGGGGAATGGGGAAGGAGGGGAGGGTGGGGGTGATGGGGGGGGTGCGAAGGTTGAAGCTGGGGAGGGTGTGGGGGATGGGGAGGGCGCGAAGGGTGCAGGGGATGGGGAGGAGGGTGGAAGAAGTGGGGAGGATGTGGGAGGAGGTCGGGGTGAAAAGAGTGGTGAGAATGATGGGTCTGATGGGAATGGTGAGAAAAATGGGAGCGATGGGAACAAGGAGGATGAGGAGTCTTCCCCTCCGGCTGGTTTAGAGAGTTCTGCTGCTGCTACGGCTGCTCCCGCAATGACGGAGGCAGCAGCAGCAGCAGCAGCAGCACCAGCACCAGCAGCAGCAGCAGCAGCAGAAGAAGCAGCAGCAGCAGCAGCAGCAGCTAGAGCGAAATTAGCAGCAGCAGTAGCAGCAGCAGCAGCCGCATCACCATCACCATCACCAGTACCATCACCAGCCGTAGCACCAGCTTCAGCAGCACTGGCAGCAGCAGCAGGCACAGCGGCTGCCATACCAGACAGCGTCCTTCTACCATCACAGGGAACCACTCATTCCTCCTCCCTAACCTCGCCCCAACCCTCCTCCCGAACCTCCTGCCAACCCTCTTCCCGACCCTCCTCTCGCCCAACCTCCCGACATGCCTCTCCGACCCCAAGGCCCGGCTCCTGCCATCCCTCCCCGCCTAGGTTCGGATCTAGGGGGTGTTCGCCGCTCAAGGGGATGTTTTCGCCGTCTAGCAGGAGCTTTTCATCAGGTTACGAGTTAGTGGAAGGTGTGGGTTTGACAGGCGATGATGGCGGTGCTGCTGCTGATGATATTATTGAGAGCAGCGCGTTGGGACGAGCTTCACTAAGTTAGGACTTTTGTTTGAGGCCAAGTGGAAGTGTATTCTACATGTTTCTGTATAGAAGGTTGTTGTAGAGTGTGGAATTTATTATAGCTAGAATTTGTTTCTGGTTCACCTGCAAGCCCCCACGTACACTAACTGGTATGCTGTGCCAAGGGTAAGTTAACCAACCAGGTTGATATGCCAACACCCCTTACAAACAGGGGCGCAGTTGGTAATACCCCTCAAAAAACAGCGGGGTTTCCCCCTTTCACACCTTTTTTTCGCACGCACAAGGGTGGCGTTTCACATGACCATTCCGTTTCGATTTGTTTTTGTAGGCCGAGCGAATCAGCCTTTCCAGAAATTCTCAGTGGCCCTCCCGGGCCGCTGAGGGGGTTTGGAAATAGTTTTCAACCAGCAATAGACGCGTCTCGGATAAACCTCATTAACTGCGTCATTGCCCCAAGCGCAAAGATTACTTCTCCTTGCGGTTTGCAAAGTTTATTTCAGCCTTGGCTTCCGTGTATTTCCGATCTGTGGGATGGAAACTAGCCTGTTGCTTACGTGGCAAATTTTGAAGCTTTCAAATTGACGAGCGTCCGCTTGGTTGTGCTTGTTCGTAGCGTGCCAACCAAGCGACCTCCCTCCCTTAGGCAGAACCATTTCAGGGCCCAACAACTTGTTTCAGTGATTTGCCATGCGTGTCCCGTTTCTTAGCTTAACATCTCCTAGCAGTGAAGGGTGAGGCTGATGGCGGTAGCTCTCGAAGGCGACATTCTACTAAGGGACGATTATGCACCTAGGTATAGGCATCCGACAATTGATAGTGGTCAAGCCTTCCCAGCGGACACAAGCGCATCTAGCGAATGCCACATCATGCGATTCTGGTCGTTCTGCCACTTCCGATTTTGAGGCGCCTCGCGAAATGGCCATCGCCTTACAAAACGTGGCGACGATCAAACGGCTGTTAGAAGTACCAACTCTTTTCGGCTTTACTATTTTCTGAGGCATGTAGGGTGCTCCGCGTGTCACCCTGAGGAGTGACCAGCGCATTTTAGCGAGCGACGCTTGTGGGTGAGCGACGCTTGTGAGTGAGCGACGCTTGTGAGTGAGCGACGCTTGTGAGTGAGCGACGCTTGTGAGTGAGCGACGCTTGTGAGTGAGCGACGCTTGTGAGTGAGCGACGCTTGTGAATTAGCGACGCTTGTGAGTGAGCGACGCTTGTGGGTGAGCGACGCTTGTGAGTGAGCGACGCTTGTGGGTGAGCGACGCTTGTGGGTGAGCGACGCTTGTGGGTGAGCGACGCTTGTGGGTGAGCGACGCTTGTGAGTGAGCGACGCTTGTGAGTGAGCGACGCTTGTGAGTGAGCGACGCTTGTGTGACAGACGTCAATGAGTGAGAACTTTCTCCTTACGTTCTTCCTGCTCGGAACAGCATTAACGAGTGGCCATCCCATCCCATCAGATGCCCATCTCATTCTATCCACAAGGCCATCATATCGCATTTCGCATTCTTGTTAGAGATACCTGCGTGGTCCAAATGCATGATTCTCCTGGTTTATCCCCCCTGCTTTGATTCCCAATTTTTTTCCCTTGGTTTGACCCCCTGGTTTAAAGGGCTAGTGCCTGAAAAGTTATGGTTAGCATTTTCCGGCTGACTAAGGAATTGGGCAAGCAAATGAAAATGAGTCAGATTTTTATTGTAAGAGCCCATGCATTTCTCTTTCTTTGTCTCTCCTGGTTTCAATCTTCCCACGTTCTTCTCTTTCAAGTGACTATTTGTTTCAAAGAGCCATTTCAGGGCCTTGACTCTCATTGGAATGGGGGAAGATGGTCTAAAATGGGGCAAGTCTCTCTTCAGTACTGAATATTATATCTTGTTTCTCACATAGCAGGCCAACACACAGCTACTCTGGAGCCCCACACAGAGCAGTGAGCCAATTAGGAGGCTTGCACACGAAGCTGTGTGGCGCACTGCAATGCAAACCACAAGGTGTCAACGCCAAGTATTGCTACTGATAATTTCTACAGAACATCCAGGTCAAATAGGTTAACTTATCTACAGGGTGTTAGAACAGATGGAATACATGGCACGATTGCTGCTGACGGTAAATCGCATGCATACGCAAGGGGCAGTACAAAAGCCTTGCATCTCCAACAGTGTGCACCCATCATCCTTCACCACTTTGAGCCGTATCTACTCAAATTGCTACACTTCGGCAGCAGTCAATCCATCCCAGCTTACGCATTCCTAAGCGCGTGATTTGATCCAAGAAAAACATCTCCAAGCAGGACGTCCTCCTTATAAGCATCCCCGTTTCAAACATCCCCTGCCTTGACCATGAGAGTGTAGTTCCTGGTGGGGTCGAAGCACTTGCGATACACCAGGTACGCAGCACCCAGCAGCACCGCAGTGAGTGCGGTAACCGCCGCAAACGCTGTAGCGCCTGTTAACACCAGCTTCCCTCCTCCCCCTCCCTCACCCTCTGTCTCTGAGTCAACCTCATGCTTCAACTGAAAGGGGAAGAGGGCGCGGTGTGTGGGGTTGAGAGGGTCGGTGGGGAGTGGGGGAGTGGGGGAGAGGGTAAGTGAAATTGCAGGATAATACGTGACATACCATGCCGGACCGGACCTCATCAAAGACTGACTGGGACACCTGGGTGGAAGAGGGTGGTAACCACAGCACCCAGCAGCACCGCAGTGAGAGCGATAACCGCAGAAAGAAATTAAACTCCCTCCAGCGTGGCACCTAACTGTACCTAACTCAGCCTTTCCACGCCCCTCCCCACCGCTCTGCACCCACCTGTACCTGTGCCAGCCGCGCAAGAGTCTCTTCCAGCTGGCTCGTGTCAATCACGCCACCCACATGCCCGCCCGGCTGACCAATCAACCCCACCAGCCGCCCACACTCCTCCCCCAGCTTCTCCCTCGGCTGCTCCAGCAAACACTGCCCCACCACCCCCACCGCCGCCCCCGCCTTTCCCCCATCCGCCCCGGTCCGGTTCCCACACAGCTCCTCTACCACAGGATTGCATGGCTTGACCAGATCAGCATCTTTGTGATACATCCACAGGGCCATGCGCACAGCATAGGCCGTTTCAGTGAGGCATTTGCCTGAGAGGTTCCCCTGGTGGTTCACGAGGCACTGCAGCACGAGGGAGTGGGCCTCTTTCCCCTCGTCCACGCCCTTGCAATACGAGTCCACGTCCCCCTCGCACTGCTCTGCTAGTGCTGAGTCGAGCTTGTAGTAAGAGGCGTGGCGGAAGGTCTGCAGGTCCACCTCTGCCTTGCAGGCCACTGACATGCCCACCTGGTGAGGGGAGGGAGGGGGAAAGGAGAGGGGAGAGGGGAGTCAGGCATTTGCCGGAGAGGTTCCCCCGGTGGCCCACAAGACACTGCAGGCAGCACGAGGGAGTGGGCCTCCTTGCCTTCGTCCACGCCCTTGCAATACGAGTCCACGTCCCCCTCACACTGCTCTGTTAGGGCTGAATCCAGCTTGTAGTAAGAGGCGTGGCGGAAGGTCTGCAAGTCGACTTCGGCCTTGCATGCCACTGACATGCCCACCTGGTGAAGGGAGGGGGATTTGGAAGGGTGCGGGGTAGGAAAGGGAAAGCGGCGGAATTGGGACAGGGTGCATGTGAGGGAGCGAGGGAGTGCGCTTCTTTCCCCTCGTCCACGCCCTTGCAATACGAGTCCACGACCCCCTCGCACTGCTCTGCTAGGGCTGAGTCCAACTTGTAGTAAGAGGCGTGGCGGAAGGCATGTAAGTCGACTTCTGCCTTGCACGCCACTGACATGCCCACCTGAAGGTTTGGGGGGGTGAGAGGGAGTGGGCTGGGGGTGTTGGGGAGAACGGTGCACCGCGCATCAAGCACCGTGCAAAAATGCTTTTTGCACCGTTAGCCTAACCTCACTGCATCAAGCACACCTCACCTTACACGTTACCCTGTAACCTTCACTTATGCTCAGGCATTGGAACCCAGCTGTGGACTGCTGTACAGGACAACAATCAGACTCCTTGTATAGAAAAGTATATCTAAACATATATGTGTGTGTGTGTGTGTGTGTGTGTGTGTGTGTGTGTGTGTGTGTGTGTGTGTGTGCGTGTGTGTGCGTGTGTGAAAACAAACTCACCTCATTGATGCTCATCTGCAGGCAGCGGAAGGCAAGCCCGGCTGTGGGCTGCACGCCGCGGCAGAAGTGGTTGAGCTCCAAGCCACACGCGTTCATGAGCGTTGGGGTCAGGCGGATGTCGGACGCCTGTGAGGAGGGAAGTGGGATACAGCCAGGAAGAGAGTAAGGAAGTGCGGTGGTGAGAGGCAGAGGTGGTTGAGCCCCAAGCCACACGCGTTCATGAGGGTTGGGGTCAGGCGGATGTCTGACGCCTGTGAGGAGGGAAGTGGAACAGTGAGCAAGACAGAAGGAGGTGCAGGGGGGGTTGAGATGGAGGCCGGAATGGTTGAGTTCCAAGCCACAAGCGTTCATGAGGGTTGGGGTCAGGCGGATGTCAGATGCTTGCGAGGAGGGGAGTGAAAGGGGACGCCCAGAATAAGAGTACAGAGAGGAATGGTTGAGCTCCCAACAAGCATGCTTTCACTCCTCCCCTCCCCTGCGTCAGTCACGCCTCCCCTCCCCTGCGTCATGTCACGCCTCCCCTCCCCTGCGTCATGTCACGCCTCCCCTCCCCTGCGTCAGTCACGCCTCACCTTCCCTGCATCAGAGTCACCATCCCACACCCACCTCCATCTCGCTCAACCGCAGCTCCTCCTCCTTGCACTCCTCCGTCAGCTCATCCCTCTTCGCCCGCAGGCACGCCAGCGCCTTGGAGTGGTCCCTCTCGCCGCCACACTTCTTCTCCACGTCATTCTTGCACGCCATCTGAAGAGAGGTAGAAGGATTAGGCAGGGGGGATAAGACGGGGGTGCATAAGGGAAGATGGATCAAACACCCTCTCCTTCTACCTTGGAGTGGTCCCTCTCGCCGCCACACTTCTTCTCCACGTCAGTCTTGCACGCCATCTGAAGAGAGCG